TCGAATAAAAAATTTAAAATTTTAAATTGATCCTCTGAATGAATTCTTACTTGTTCGTGTTCTGGAACTAAAAAAAGTCTTTGAAAATTTAAACTTGATGTTGATTTTACAGCCAATTCATTGATTAAATTCAATAAATAACCGATTTCTGTTACTAATGATTTTCTATCATTTATATCAAATGGATTTGTTTTTTGTTCAAATTCTAAGTAATTAATAATAAGAAGGATACCATGAATTTTATTTATACAAACCCTTTCTATGTAATTTTTTATAGAAGCTTCATTTATGATTGAAGGTGTAAACAATTTTTTGATCCGTCCCCGGTAGGGTCCATTCAAGAAAGGATCATATATTTTTGTTAAGTATTCTTTTTTAGTCTTATCATTACACAATCTAGTTCTTTTTTCGAGTACATTCAGAACAAAAAATTCTTTATTTAGATTTAGAGTTTTGTCGAGAGTTTTTACTCTATTTAAAAATTTTTTGTTTAGCTTTTTCTTTTTATGTTCATTCCTATAACTCCACTGATTATAAAATTCATTAGAAGGTAATTTTTCTTTTCTGAACAGAGACATTTTACTTTGTATCATTTCAAAAAAGGTTGCCAAACTGGGGGGGTACGTAAAAGATATTCTTTCTTTTCCATCACTTTGACATGTATAAAAAAAATATTGTGACATTTCATTTCTTACATAATTTTCAAATCGATTGTTTTTTATATACCGCAATGGGCGATTCCACCGTTTATAATCGAAAAGAATAGTCACAATAGGTTTTTCAAACCAGAAGAGATCGGGGAAAAAAAAAAAAAAAAAAAAAAAAAAAAAAAAAAAAAAAAAAAAAAAAAAAAAAAAAAAAAAAAAAAAAAAAAAAAAAAAAAAAAAAAAAAAAAAAAAAAAAAAAAAAAAAAAAAAAAAAAAAAAAAAAAAAAAAAAAAAAAAAAAAAAAAAAAAAAAAAAAAAAAAAAAAAAAAAAAAAAAAAAAAAAAAAAAAAAAAAAAAAAAAAAAAAAAAAAAAAAAAAAAAAAAAAAAAAAAAAAAAAAAAAAAAAAAAAAAAAAAAAAAAAAAAAAAAAAAAAAAAAAAAAAAAAAAAAAAAAAAAAAAAAAAAAAAAAAAAAAAAAAAAAAAAAAAAAAAAAAAAAAAAAAAAAAAAAAAAAAAAAAAAAAAAAAAAAAAAAAAAAAAAAAGCCCATTACTCCAACCAAAATAGCCCATCACTTCAACCAAACTAGCCCAATACTTGATGAAGTTAGCCCATGTACTTGATAAACCAACTTATTGTCATAGAAGGGCCAAGCAACCCAAAAAATATATCTGCAAATCTTCAGCACCTAGCTGAAAACAAAAGCCACGTTGAAAGCCAAAATATCCATGTGTGAAAGCTGCTGGAAAGCTCCAACACATGGGAGAAACAAGTTTCAAGCAAAAACTTCCAAATGACCAAGGGATATTGGAGCGCAGATCACCATTTGAACCAGCATGCATACCCATTCCTTCCCTCATCAGACCTAGCCTTGGAAAAGGAGAGAAAAGAAGGAAGAAAGATGGCTGAAAATAGAAGTCTGAAACAGCCGCAGGAAAGGGGGCTTTGAGCTCCCAAAAATCCCTGATTTTATGCAAATGGGTAGAGTGGATTTCACCAAAAAGGGATGATTGAAAAGATGAAGGGAGAAAGGAAGGAAAAGCTTAGCCAAAATGGGTAGAAGCCATTAGGTTTTCTTGGAAAATATCAGCTTCCAGCGGCTATAAATTAGGGCCTCTTCTACCCAACAAAAATCATCCACAACTAGAGAGCAAGCTTCCTCTCATACTTGCAAAAACCAGCAATTTCGTGCACTGTTCATCTTCCTCCATTTTCTTCTTCTGACAAGCTGCCAGAAGAACATAGTTCTTCCCTTTTCTCTTCCTAGCCACATATGCTTGAAAACCTCTTCTTCCTCACCTTAAACACTCCATTTTCTCCCTAGGAAGCCATATTTCCTTTTTGGTGCTCAACTCATGCTAATTTTGCTCCCATGCCACAAGCCCCTCATGCCAAACTCAAAAGTTTATGTGTAAGCATGAAGAAATTACCTGTAAGCTGCCATTATTTTGGTTGGTGAAGATAACCAAAATACTTCCTAAGGCTCTACTGTCTTTTCGAGGTATTTTGGGGCTTAATTTTCGAACTCAGACTCAAGGGGCAATTTCTTCCATTTTGCCCTTTACGACAGTCAAGCCCGTAGTAGCTGCCGGAAGAAAAAAGCCCCTACAAAACTCAAATGACCAATTTCAAGCCCTAATATGAAATTTTGGGTTGATGAAATTGCCTCTTACATCGTCAAAGAAATTGACATGAATACTAACTTGTCCTTACAAATACGAAATTACATGGTCAAAATTGACAAAATTGAAACTACATGATCGAAAGTGGTTGAAGTGCCAAAATACAGGGACAAAAAATGACTTTTGACCCCTTTTCTAAGACTTGATTTTCAGTAAATTTTCCTCTACACAAAGTTGTTTCAATTAGTTATTGGAGGGTAAATGGTCAAAATCCCACTCAATCTGTTCAATTCGTTGTCTAATCTTCTTTCAGAAAAATTGTTCTTCAAACTAATAAAAACATTTCCCCTACGATCAAATTTCCCAACATTACATCCAATTTGTTGTGTTAAAAAACCACGTGCTGAGTACATGAGGTATTTTTAAGGACAAATTAGTTATTTACAAGAAAATTACTTCCCTCCTTACTCTACATGTAAGTAATAGCTCATATATTCATGCCAATAACAGTGTGATATGTGTGCATAAGTTTTTCTTTGTGTTTTTGATGAATTATTTTTACATATATGTCAAACTATGATTCGTATGAAGAAGGCAAATAGTATCATATTTACAATCTAATAACTTTTATAATAATTAAAAACTAAAAATAAACTTTAAATAAGTAAATAAATAAAAACATAAACACCACATTCAACCTCCCCGTCTCTGATTTTCTTTCGAATTCAAATAGCAAAAGTTCTCCACAACAACCAATAACCAAAATCCGATTAGCACGAGGGATGATGTATAAAACTCGATGGTCATTTCACCTTGTGCAACTGAAATGACCATTTGGGATAATGCCTTTAAACTTTTCGCCATGCCATTGTCATTGAAATAGCTTCATTTATATATTTTTATCTGTTTACATGGATAACATCTTCCCTAAGACATTGCTTTCCCCATTTGGTTTAAAGAATTTAGAAAACACTTCCACTGAACTTCCCATAACTTGCCTTCGTGGAAAACGAATTTGTGGCAACTTCTGGTGACAAACTAGAACCTACAAAAGCTGATAGTTTGCTGAAGAAAACAACCATCTTGTAGTTTCTCACTTGGATTTTATTAAGTAAAAGTTTCTTCTAGTCCTTTATTTTATTTTAAATAATCAATCTCTCATTTTTGTTAACTGACTTAATTTACTTGAATACAGAACATGATAGACTAATTCAGAACTCATAGCAATTTTTGAGTTCCATAATTTCTTAAAGTCCTCAATCTACTTCAGTTTACAAAACAGTAGTAAATGTAATTCATCCACAGAGGGAGGATCGGTACACACCTAAATAAAAGTGACAACAAGAAGCACCAACAAACTGCTTCTCCAGGATCATCCAGAGCGCGTGAGAGGAATAAGCCCGACTGTATACGGTAATAAATCTTCAGAGATTCTTGAATTAAGTCAAGCCCTTACACTTTTATCTTGATCCATCCATTTTTCAAACGCTGGATTCACATGATTGGTGATTTGACCATTGTCATCAGACAGAAAAGCAGGTAGACAGATGTCCGTTCCATCAACCAAACCTTCTACTCTATATTTCTTGAGAACTTGTAAAAATAAAACTAAAAACATAAACACCAACCTCAACCTCCCCATCCACCTATCTCTGCTTTTCTCTTCAATTCAAATAGCAAAAGTTTCCCACAACCAAAAACTAAAATCCGATTAGCACCAGAAAATGATGTATAAAACTCAATGGTCATTTTCACCTTTTTAAATTTTTTTTTTTGTATTGGTCAGAACCTGGATATTTCATTGAAGAAACCAGGGCAAAGGGCCAAGGCTCATGCAAGAAGAACATATACAGAAGTCCAATAGAAAACAAAGAAGAGGACAACAGAATAATGCTACATGAAGAAAAGAAACAGACTCCAACTAGCTCGGAGGGGAGCTAAACGACACAGATGCATCAGCAAGAGAAAATGCGTCAAAATTGCTCACAGAGCCACCATAATTTAGGCATCCCTCGTGGACAAGGTAACCCATCCTCGTTCAAAATGTGCATTAGAAAGGACGGGGGCCATTGGAGATATTCCATTTAAACTTTTCTCCATGCCATTGCCCTTGATATATAGCTTATTTATATATATTTTATCTGTTTACATGGAAATCATCTTCCCTAAGACAGATTCCTTTTCCATTTGGTTCAAAGACTTTAGAAAACACTTCCACTAAAATTCCCAGCACTTGCCTTCACAGAAAACGAATTTGCGGCAACTTCCGGTGACAAACTAGAACGTACAACAGCTGATAGTTTGCTGAAGAAAAGTCAAACTTCTGGTGTTTTCATAATAGACACTAATGTAACTCGAACAATTCTAATAGCTACTGCACCATAACAGAAGAAGCCCAACTTTCTCATAAATCAACAACCAAAAGGAAAAAAAAGGGTTTATTTAAGAAGCACAATAGCACTAATCCTATGTTGACTTTGGTAAAAACTGATTACACTTGGCGCATAAAATAAAAGGGCCATCTCAGCATATGTGCTTAACCATGTATAACAAACACAGTTGTAAAACTAACTTACAAAACTAACAACCTAGCCATTGTTTTGTAGCATCCACATTTTCTGGTGAAGTCTCATGTGATACTTCATCAGTTTATACTTTTAATGATTTTAGCTTTTGAGAAAGAGATATTTGGCCCATGTAATTCATCCATGGAGGGAGGATCAGTACTCACCTCAACTGAAATGAGAATGAGAAGCATCGACAAGTTTCTCCAGGGCCATCCAGAGTGCCCGAGAGGAAGAAGCCCCAACTGTATATGATAATAAATCTTCAGAGATTCTTGATTTCAGCCAAACCATTACACTTTGATCTCGGTCCATCCATTTTTCAAAAGCTGGATTCACATGATTGGAGATTTTACCATTTTTATCCAGCAGAAAAGCAGGTGGACAGATCTCAGTCCCATCAACCAAACCTTGTACACTATATTTCTTGAGAACTGGAAGAAATAGCCATTTCCACTGAGTGAAATTAGTGTGGGTTAGCTTCATCGGAATCATACTGCTAATGTTCTCAACAGTAATCTGTTGGACAGTGATCAGATGTTGAATGGGAATTTCTACTGGAGGTGTTTGTTCATCTGCCACTGAAAAGAAACGGAAGAAAGTTCAAGAAAAACGTTTATGCACAATTTTTTATAACTGATAAAATACAGGAAAGAGTGAGAAGGTTCAAGAATGTGAGCCATATGGCTCCAGCTCATACCACGCTGAGTTATAGACGGAATTTGATAAAAATTGATTTCCATTCACTTAACAATAAGTACATATCTCTCAATTTAAAAAAAATAAAAAGAAAACTAAAAACCTGCCAAGTCATTGATCGTACATTACCCTTCCCGTAGCCGTTGATTTGTAAGATACACATAATCACATAATCACATTATACTTAATGTGATCCTTTTTCATTACTTCAGAAAATTTTCCAAAGAGTACACTCGTCTTGTTGTCCAAAAGAATCACCGAGTGTGACAGAAGAAAAAGGTAAAAGAGACACATCTTTTTGCAAAGGAGTTGGACTAGCTGAAAACCATATGTTTGGGTTCCAACACTCAAACAAACTATTCAAGACCGAAAGCATCCGAGCATTGAGTTACCAATACCAGTCCCAGTCAAAGAGAATTAAAAAAATGTAAAGAACTGTGCATGAACTTTTATCTATTGTTTCTATCCCAATATATTCCATACCATAATGGGTTTAATGTGAATGTGCTTAAAGTTGTTTACATATGCAATCAAAGCATGAAAATATGTCAAGGGCAATGGAAAAAGTATTGCAGAGATGTTAGTGTGAACCAACATCTCTGTTTTTGGTTTACTATTAGATTGAATTTCTTTTATCTAATTTTACTGTGTCAGTGAGGAGATAAAAATGAACAAATAATTTCATAGCATGAAGAATGTATTGCTGTGCGAAAGCTTACCATTAATGTTGGAGAAGAACGGTAGCAGACTCTCAACATATTCAACCACGTTATCCACAAGGGGAGACCCCTCAAGCCTATACAGCTCACTGCAAACCACATCCTTTTCAAATTCGTCTTCTTTCTCTATGCGGTCACAAACCTTGGCTTTTCCCTTTATTGGGTTACAAAACTTGTCTTCCTTTGATTCAAACCATGTCAACTCCGCCTCCATGTTACGACTTTGCATCACAACTGCACCACTTTCCCGAAAGAAGATAGGCCTGGAAGGCCACATCTGCTCTGGGTGACCTGAGAGCTTAAGCTTAAAAAGCTTAGTCCAAGATTCACGCACATTATATTCTCTCATGACCCAGACTTCAATATGGTGAAGTTCAGGGTTCCTATTACTCATTAAACAGTGAGGATCGGTCTTCCCATGAGTCGTTACACACAGGCATCCTTCTAAAAGAACCCCTACTTGTCCGAACTTGACATTATCTTCGTTTAAAATAGGCAATGCCACTTCCCGGAACTCATCCTTGGCCAAATCAAAAGCAAGGATAGCTTGTCTGAATGGCTCAAACAGGCAGTGCTGCCAATGGAGTGCCTCATTTGAAAGAACCCCATTGGACCAATTAGATAACTTGGGGGCTGCAATCCTTTCCCAAGAGTTGGCTCTCAAAGAGAAGACCTTAACAGGGTCCCTGTCCGTTGGATCAATCAAACGAGCTGCCGCAACAACTTTGTAGTCATCAGTGGCCGCCACATAACCAAAACCATAATTATAAACATTGCCAACACTTTTTGATGCAAATCCAGGGTTAGGCAATTTCAGGAAGAACCCAGTTGATGGGTTCCAGATATAATAGCTTTCATGAAAATCAAGAGCTACACATACCAAGCCATTGCACGAGCCCAGTAATACCAGACGACTGCCTGATTTCTTGAATGGGCAGGACAGCTCTCTGACCGCAGAATTGTCATCAAACGACGCCGTCTCCTCCAAGTTCAAGGATTGGAGATGAGAATCGGTGGAGACGAGGAGTCTGGGACGGAGGGTTTGCCTCTCAGACGCTACCTTGAACTGGGATTTAGCGAATTCAGGGTCGGTGACTATGGAACGCCACCGTTTTGAGACGCAGCTGAAGCGGATCAGGGATTTGACTGGCAACCTGGAGAGAATATGCACGATGATGTCTTGGGGTAAGTGGTTATTCGACTCCTTCTCCAACTTCTTCTTCTTCGCCATCGGCATTTCAGATTTTGGCGCTGAAAACCTCAATTTGAAGAAGTTGGATGACTGATGATGAAGAGTGTTTAGTATTAAAATTGCTTCAAATCAGATACGGGATATTGCACCAAATCTGAAATAGATGCAATGTTCAAATTGCACAATCCAAACACGGAATAAAGTCTGTCACAATTAATTTGGCATTTATGGGTTGATTTCCATTTTTGAAATTTTCCTTAAAAAAATGCATAAAAATGGTAGATAAAATGTTTGCTGATAAGCAAGCAAAGGGTGTTTTAGTCCGTTAAAAAATAATTATTGAAAAAATGGGTTAAAGGCTTCAATTTTCAGTGAAAAGTCGAAGTCTCTGATTATAGCAAGCAAAGCGACCGCCAAAAAGTCTAAGTAATTTTGAATTTTCTTAATATTTTCTTTGGAGAACCTCATTTAATGAAAATGTTAATTTCTTAATATTTTCTTTAATAAATGGTATTTTTTGACATTTTGGATTTTTTTACTATTCTCTGCCTCTGCCCTTATATATAGACTAGCCTTTTTCGCGTTTGCGAGAGGCTTTATTTATTTATTTATTTAAAATTAAAATTAAAATTTATTTTAGAATTAAAAAAGATAATGAATAGTTGTGTTCTATAAAAATATGATCAATTATCTGATTTTTATTTTTTTTTATTTTTTTTTAATATGAAAAGTGTGAATTTACCATATTATCCTTATTTAATTAATAATTTCAATTCTTAATGTTTGCATTAACCAATAACATTTTCTGGTATTTTGAATGTTTCACCATTCTCTGACTTTTGCTTTATATATATATAGATTAAAGAAAATAGTAAATGTAATTCATCCAAAGAAGGAGAATACGCACCTTAACCAAAGTGACAATGAGAAGCATTGGCAAATCGTTTCTCTAGGATCATCCATAGTGCATGAGAGGATGAAGCCCCAACTGTATATGAGCATTTCAAAGGTTATATTCACATGATCGATGATTTTTCCATTTTCATCAAACATAAAAGCAGGTGGACATATCTCTGTCCCATCAACCAAACCTTCTACTCCATAATTCTTAACAACTTGAAGAAATAGCAATTTCCACGTAATGTGTAATTAGTGTCAGTGAGTTTCAATGGAACCATACTACTGATGTCTTGAACAGTGATCTGTTGGACAGTGATCAGATGTGAAGCAGGAATTGATGTTGCTGCTGGTGCTTGTTGATATGCCATTTTAAAGAAAAGGTTTACACATACTCTTTGGTAAGAAGATATAAGGAAGGGTGAGAAGTGAAAGAAGTCGATGTTTCACCCCGAAAACTATAATTGCCAATTGGCGAGTAGCACAACCTTTTATAAGCCTATGCTAGGTTTTTAATTTTCCTTCTTGAATTAGAGAAATAATTTGATATGCATAGGAAACTACGAAACCAACATCTTAGTTTTTGTGTTTACTATTGTGTTGAGTTTTTGTGGATTAGCATATCACAATAAACATATAATTTTCAGATGCATGAAGGACGCATTGGCTTGCTAAAGCTTACCGGAAATGTTGGGCAAGAACGGTAGCATACTCTTAACATATGCGATCATGTCGTCTCCAAAGTCAAGCCCCTCGAGCATATCTTGCCTACTACAAACCGCACCCTTGTCAAACTCGTCTTCATTTTTATCAAACCATATCAATTCCATATTCTTGGGACTACAATAATGCATCACAATAGTACTACCTTCCCTAAATAAGATAGGCAAGGAACCTCGTGGCGGCCTGGCACTGGAAACCCTAAACCTAAAAAGCATAGTCTAAGGGCCTGTTTGAGAGTGCTTCTGGAAGGGCCAAAAGCGTTTTTTGATAAATAAAAGCGCTTCTAATAGCGTTTGGCAGAAAAGTTTAGAAGCGCTTCTGGGTCATAGAAGTGCTTCCTGGAGAAGCACTCGCTATGTGCTTTTCAGGAAGCATTCCCAAGTGCTTTTCCACGATGCACTTTAATTTTTTATGAAAATTCAAGATTTTTATAATAAAAGCGCTTTTGTTAGAAGCACTTATGAGCAAAAGTACTTTCTAGAAAAGCAGTCCCAAACGAGCCCTAAGATTTACACACATCATATTCTCTCAGGACCCAGATTTCAATACATTGAAAATCAGGCTCCTCATCACCCCATGCACACAAAAATCCTTCTAAAAGAGCCTCTACTTTTATGAGACTTATCCTATCTTCTTCAAAATTAGGCAACATTACTTCTTGGAACTCTTCCTTTGCCAAATCAAAAGCAATTACAACTTGTGTGTAACCGTGTGGTCCAAGCAATGTGTGTAACCAATGGAGTGCCTCATCTGAAAGAGCGCTCTGATTCGACTCGCTAGATAATATGGGAGCTTGAACCTTTTTCCAGGAGTTGGCTCTTAAGGAGAAGACCTCAACATGGTCTCTATCACTTATGTCATTTGGACCATTTAATTAAGCGGCCACAACAACTTTGTAGTCATAAGTGGCTGATACATAACCAAACCCATAATTGTAAAGCCCTTTAATATCTTTCAAAATCTAGGTCAGATAATTTCTGCAAGAATCCAATGGATGGGTTCCAGATGTAAAAGTATTCATGAAAATCAAGAGCTACACATATCAAACCATTGCACGAGCCCAGTACATTGATAGTACGGTCAGGTTGCTTGAATAGGAAGCTGAGATTTTTGGCCAAATAATTATCTCCAACTGTAGATGACGACAATTCCAAGTGTGCGGATCGAAGTTCAAAGGCAGTGGAGATGAGGAGTCTAGGACTCAATGTTTGTTTCTTAGAAGCTTATTTGAAGTGGGATTTAGCAAACTTCGGTCGTACAACAAAGAACGCCAGTGTTTTGAGACACAACTGAATCTAATCAAAGATTTGACTGGCAACTTGGAGAAGGTTTGTACTATGATCTCATAAGGTAAGTGGTTCTTCAACTTCTTACTTTCTATTGGCAACGATTTCGAGTTGTCGGCAATGGAACCCTAAATTTGGTAAAGCTGAGATCAGAGAGTCCTAATTTCACATCTTGGGATCGGCTCCGCCGTAACACGATATTGTCCGCTTTAGGTCCCCCTATTTGCCCTCACGGTTTTGTTTCTAGGAGCTCACGAGCAACTTTCCAGTGGATCACCCATCCTAGAATTGCTCTAGTATCAACTCGTTTAACTTCGAAGTTCCCATGACTTTGAAGTTAGTGAGCTCCCAAAAGGCCCCGTGCTAGATAGAGGCGGACATGTGCATATAAGGCACATCACCTCCTCTCCGTTGGTCAATGTAAGATGTTACAATTAACCCCCTTAAGGGTCTGACTTCCTCATCGGTACACTTGCACCACACGGCAGAGTGGTTTTGATACCAAATTTTCACATTCCAGATTGGCTACACCGTAGCACGATATTGTCCACTTTGGGCCCCCCTCTTTGCCCTCACGGTTTTGTTTCTTGGAGCTCACGAGTAACTTCCCAGTGGGTCATCCATCCTAGAATTACTCTAGCCCCAACTCGCTTAACTTCGGAGTTCTCATGACTCCAAAGCCAGTGAGCTCCCAAAAGGCCTCGTGCTAAATGGAGGTGGGCATGTGCATATAAGGCACATCAACCCCTCTCCATTTGTCGATGTGGGATGTTGCACCCACCACTGGAGACAACTTTTGAGGAGTGTCCTTAGTTTAATTAAGCATGCAATTAATGAACAACCATTTGTAGTGCATGTGGATGGGCTCGGTTTGGTTAAATGGAACAACTAGTTGGAAATGTGCACTAAACCCATGACGTTAGACGTACAAAATCTTGAAATTGTCGTCGAAGTGTCACTTCCGTCAATCAATTTCGTTTTTTAGTGAGACTAGCAACGATGACCATATCTAGTGAGGATGACAGTGGACGACAAGATCTAGTAAGGGATAGTGAGATCTGGTCATGGATGGTGAGATTTGGCGAGGGATGACGAGATCTAGTGAGGGACAACAAGATCTAGCCAGAGACATCGAGATCTAGCAAAGGACAATGAGATCTAGCGAGGGACGTCAAGATTTAGTGAGAGATGACAAGATCTAGTGAGGACAAGAGATCTAAAAAAGGACGATAAGATTTATTGAGATCTAACAATGGACAGTAAGATCTAGCGAGGGATAACGAGATCTAGCAAGGGACCACTAGTCTAGCAAAGGACGACAAGATATGATCAACAAGATCTAGTGAGGAACAATGAGATGTGGCAAGATCTAGTAAGGGACAACAAGATCTAGCAAGGGATGTCAATATTTAACGAGAGACGATGAGATCTAGTGAGGGTAACGAGATCTAGCAACGGATGATAAGATTTATCGAGATCTAATAATAGACAGTGAGATCTAGCAAAGGACCACTAGTCCAGCAAAGGATGACAAGATATGAACAACAAGATCTATTGAGAGATAACGAGATCTAACGAGATCTAGCAAGGGACAAACAAGATCTAGCGAGAGACCAACGAGAGCTAGTGAAGGACATCAAGATCTAGCATGGATCACAAGATCTAGCGAGAACGACAAAACAAGGTGTTGTGAGATTTAATTGATAAGAGAGAAAGAAGAGAAGAATACATTGAGAGAGAGAGAGAGAGAGAGAGAGAGAGAGAGAGAGAGAGAGAGAGAGAGAGAGAGAGAGAGAGAGAAGATGAGATGAAGGCGCCACGAGAGAGAGGAAGGCATAAGAGGCTACAGTTGTGAGAGGAAAAGGAAAAATGAGGTTGGGGCTATGAGAGAGAAGATAGTGAGAAGAAGGAAGAAAAGGTTGTGGCTGCAAGAGAGAGAGAGAGAGAGAGAGAGAGAGAGAGAGAGAGAGAAGCAGAGGTTGCAGTTACGAGCAAGAAAAACGCTAGGTTTTTTTAATCTGATGTGGTGGGTAATGTAGGGAGAATTATAATAAGATTTAAGCCCATCTAATACGATAAAGCCATGTGGAAAAGGTAAGTTTTGAAAAAGAAAAAAAGTAAAAGCAGCCTGTTTGGTTTGATTGAGCCAACAAATATAAATTTTAACACATTGAATTGATTCAACCAATCCATTTCAATTAAGCACTGAATTTTTTAAAAGAAAAAGGAAATCAAACATATTCAGTTCGACATATGTGATTGGTTTTTCAATGTTAATCTCGAGCCTTAGTTGTTCGACTCACGAGTACACACCATTTAAAGTTCTCTTTTTTAGTTGTTCTGTTCGCACTTCCTTATTTTTAAAATTCCACTCCACATTCGGATTCTTTCCCCAAAATCCGAACTTTACCTTTTAAAATTTCTTTCCAATTTAGACTTCTAAAATCCATAATTTCATGAATTTCTTTAATAGTGCTTTTGGATGAGGGCATTAAACTTGGGATTTTGATAAAAGTTAAAATTTCTAAATTGACATAAACCAAATCCCTTGGATTTTTAAAAAAAAAAAAAAAAAAAAAAAAAAAAAAAAACTAGAAATTTCACGTGGGAAAAAACATGGAATTTGGATGTCATAAATCCTGACTTTAAATTCTATCTAAATAATGGTCATTTCTATAATTCCAAAATTATAAACGTTAAATTATGTATTTAAATCCGTTAGCCAAACAGGAAACTTTACAAGTGCTACTAAACGAACCCTAAAATTAACTGAGTACACCCTACTAGCAAAGTATTTATCAATTCCTCAAAACTTTTGAATTTCCTCATCCAAAGAAAAGTCACATTTGCTAAAACAAGTGCTACTAAATGAACCTTAAAATTAATTGAGTACAACTAGCAAAGTATTTATTGAATCACTAATTAATCCTAATATAAAATGACCAAAAAGGATATATTGAATTGTGAAACAAATATAATTTTAATAAGTACACCCCACTTACCATATTCAACCCTAATCAAACGTAGAGAAGTTTTTGTATTGCTTGGTGCCCACAACGAACAACACATCGAGCACTGGCTGAGGTGCAAGGAAAGTTCACAGCAATACAGTAGCAATGTAGGCATTTTCATTAAAGCACTCGTCAATTTTGTTTCCGTTTCTAGCTTGAACAACAAGGGCATCAATTAAACACTTATCCATTGCAAGTGACCAAACAACGTTCCTTCTTTTGTGCTTCAAATCACTTCTCTGTCTATGGAGGTCATAATGATCCATTATCCATAAAAAAAGAAAAAACCCGTACAATTTTGATAAGATGATAGAACATATTTGGAGGGCGACAAGTTCAATCCAAAAATAAGAAATAAAGAAAGAAAATCATAAGAATACAAGAATCAAGCTTTGAATTGAAGGAGCTAGCAAATCTATTCCCACAACAACTTACAAAATTAAAGATTTTGATGCAAACCCAAAATTTGAAAAGGGGGCACGAATTCATGTAAAAAGAGAAACTTGATTTAGGATTGGTATTAAGGTGTTGTGTGATAGAGTGTATTATGGTGTACTAGTGTACCACATGTATTTTTGGTAGTTAAATATGGTGTACTTAGTTAATTTTATATTTTGATTAAAATATTAAAGTGTACTTAGATTATAGGGTGTACTCAATTAATTTTAGGATTCGTTTAGCAACACTCATGAATTTTTGATAAAATGAATGATTTTTGGAGTAGGAAACTTGGGTTAAATAATTGGCCAATTCAGTAGATCGGTCGCTTTGCACCTGAATTCCATCCCCTCACATACATTAGAGTACTTTATAATATCGATTTGTCCAAAAAATAAAAAGAAAAGCAAAGAATACACCTCTACACCTAAACTAGACTCGCAAAGGACCCACTAATGTAGTAGTTTGGAGTAATTGCTCCTCCAGACAAGGTTATGGGTTCCGAATCCTAGTATCCGTATTGTATGTGTGACTTTAGTATATTATCGTGCCTCATAGGAAAGGTTCAAAAAGGAAAAAAAAAAAAAAAAAAAAAAAAAAAAAAAAAAAAAAATAGATCCAAGATGCTAATTAAATACCCCAAAAGTTTCAAGCTTATTTGGAAATGCGTTAAAGTCCAAATTGAGTACACTCCATAGAATTGAAGACTCTATCCAGAACCCATCCGCCTTTATTTGAATTTTTACAACGGCACACCATTTGATTTTTTAAAAAGACATAATGAGTTCGGGCCGGAGCAGCCGGAAGAAGAAGGATGCAGCAGTTGGTGCCAATAAAAGACCGCCAGCAGCAGCGTCTCTTCCGCAAAGGCAAACGCAGAGGCGACGGCAATCGGCTAAGGAATCAGAAATACAAGACATAGAAGACTTGTTCTTCAGCGAAGAGGAGACCCAGAGAATTAGGAAGGCTCTGCTGGAATGGTACGGCCTCAATCGCAGAGAGCTCCCTTGGAGAGAAGCAGAGGAGGACGTGGAGCGAAGAGCCTACAGAGTGTGGGTCTCGGAGGTGATGCTGCAACAGACGAGGGTTCAGACTGTTGTTCAGTACTTTCATCGTTGGATGAGCAAATGGCCCACCATTCACCACCTCGCCCAGGCTTCTCTTGAGGTCTCTACCTTCACATTTCACTTTCTGATTAACCTTATTCCAATCTTTTGCTTTCACATTCACATTTGAAATGAAGAAGTCCCAAAGGGAACTGCTTAAGCTTCTTTTGTGAGAAGCAATTTTATTAGAAGCAAGTTGAAATTTTTACTAAAAATCCAAGTGCTTATTGGAAAAAGCACCTATCTTTTTTCCTCCATAGAAAAAGCACCTATCTTCAGTAAGCGCTTTTATGACCCAATAGCGCTTTGAAGTTTTTGTGCAAAACGCTTTAAGAAAGTAACACTTGCAGTCTTTTGCAGGAGGTGAATGAATTGTGGGCGGGTTTGGGCTACTACCGACGGGCGCGATTTCTTTTGGAGGTGCTTTCTGCTCATAGGCTATAGAAAAATCCTTTTACTTGGTGTATCATATTTATTAGTCATTGTGCTGCTTCATGACCAATTGATTTGGAAACAAACGAACCTTGATGTTTATCCATCTATAATCTGATTGAAACACTTTGATGATCTTTCGTCACACTTGTAATGACTATGAGTTGTGAACTTATAATGATTCTGAGGCTGCCTTCTATGCAGGATGATTCTGTCTTCATCTTGTATATTCTAGTTTTACAATGAAGGCCTTTGGACCTTTTCTTGTTCAAATTTTTTTGCTGTTCTCAATGATCTCATTTGAGAATGATGTATCTCATCTTATAACGAAAAAGGAACAAATTTGAAAATAACAAGCAATTTTTCTTTCTGAATAGAAAACATGCCCTTGTTTCAATCTCTTTGTTCAATTGTTAGGGAGCTAGGATGATTGTTGAAGAACAAGTTCAATTTCCTAAAACAGTTTCTCAACTGCGAAAAGTTCGGGGAATTGGAGACTATACAGCTGGAGCAATAGCCTCAATCGCATTTAAAGAGGTGAGTAACTTCTGTGATATGTCTGACTCAAAGAGAAAGTTTCTATGATATTTGTTTAATCAAGAAACAGCATTTTATAAGAGTTATTATATCAGGTGGTTCCTGTGGTTGATGGAAATGTAGTAAGGGTGATTGCTAGACTAAAGGCTGTTTCTGCCAATCCAAAAGACTCTTCGACTGTCAAGAAATTTTGGTGAGCTTTTCTTTTATAGAATAACTGTTTGTTCTTTTATAGGATTTGAACTTAATTCCTCTTTTAAAGAGGAAGAAACTTTTGGTCATCATTTCTTTTCCATTGAGTAAAATATATGTTCTCTGCTTAAAGTATGGTTTATCCTTTTCTGTACAATTCTTAACAGATCATGAAGGTTTTCAGTAGTGTTGATTTAGACATGTATTCATGCTGCTTGCATTATGCCGTTAAATCTCCTTTCATTTTATTCTAATTGTAATATAATTTAAGAAACACATTTTCTTCTTCCATTTGTTAATGATATAAAGTGTAAGGGAATAATGTCAATCAATGTTCCTTTTAAACTTTTCCCAAACTTAGGTGTGGCAACAAATTCGACATGTTTGAGTCACACCTCAAGTTGGTATGGTTCAAATTGATGTGTTTGAAATTCAGAAAATGATGCCATGGGGCGTGTGTGTGTATATATTCAAAATTTGCCAATCATCACTTCCTGATTTTCACATGTATGTGAACAGGAAACTAGCAGCTCAGTTAGTTGACCCCTTCCAACCTGGGGACTTCAATCAGGCTCTCATGGAGCTTGGTGCAACTGTATGTACCCCATTGAGTCCAAGTTGTCATTCATGTCCTGTATCAGTCCAATGTTGTGCACTATCAATCTCTAGAGCTGATAGTTCAGTGCTGGTTACAGATTATCCAGTTAAGGTCGTAAAGGCCAAACAGAGACATGATTTTTCTGCTGTATGTGTTGTGCAAATATTAAGAGATGAGGAACTGTCAGAGGGACACAGAACCAACAATGGGTTTCTTCTTGTAAAACGGCCTGATGAAGGGTTGCTTGCTGGCCTCTGGGAGTTCCCGTCTGTCTTGCTGGCTGGAGAAGCTGACTTGGTCACTAGGAGAAAGGCAATTGACCAATATTTGAATAAACATTTTAGACTTAACCCCAGAAACACCTGTGACATAGTTTCCAGGGAATATGTTGGAGAAAATGTCCATGTTTTCACTCACATTCGTCTCAAGATGTATGTGGAATTGTTGGTGTTACATCTAAAAGGTTTGATCTATGTCTCTATCTCTTCCCACATGTTGGTAAATTCAATGAACTGTTTCAGAGAAGTATTTGAGAGGATGCTCGAGGTCAAAGCTGCTGCACACTTGTTTATTAATTCATTAATCTTAAATCACTGGAACCAAAGAATTAAGATTTATCAGAGTAACATTTTGTTAGTTATAGTAGTACAACCTTGCTTCTGGGGATATTCTTATCATAGTTTACTTTTCATTGTTATGAAGGTGGGATGAAGGACCTGGTTAGCAAGCAGGGCAAAGAAACTGTGCCCTGGAAATGTGTGGACGCCGAGGTCCTTTCAAGCATGGGATTGACATCTGGTGTAAGAAAGGTGATGTCATACTTCCACAAGTCAAAGGTCCATTGTACAATTTTTTTGGGCCGTTTTTCATTTCTTAGTTTGGATGATAAAAATCATGTTTATTCCCCCTTTTGAAATATTTTTTATACTAAAGAAGTGATTCTATCAGACATATATGGCTTCATTTTGCTTATTTGATTTTGTTTACATTGTCAATTGAATTTTGTCAAAATCGACTTCAGGAAGATAAACACGGTGGCCCTTAGCTCTAAGTAAAAACTTGAATGTCCAACTAATCTTATATTAGCACCAAAAGAATATGATGAAACAGTTGTTGAATTATTTCTTCTAGTACAGACCTTTTTGTGTTAATTATAAAAATCTTTTTACATACTCTCTGGTTGTATTAATTGAATCACGGTGCAGGTTTACACTATGGTTCAAAATTTAAGCGAGAAACGGTTGCCCTATGATCCTGCCTTGGAAAGCATGAAATGAAAACATGTAAAGCGTCTTGAACGAAATAGAATATTCCTGGAGTAGGACTGCACTGTTTTGTTTGGACATGCATAACTGAGAAAGAGATCAAGCAGAAGACAAACCCAGAAAGCCAACCAGAGGAGATTTCAATTTCTATGCGTGTCAATTATCGCTTGTTTTGTAAGCTACTCCTTGTAGGTGCTTTCCAAGCACAGAAAAGATTATAATCTGTTTTAATTTTACGTGTTGTGATATATCAATGCAAGCCACAGTTAGTGCTTCAATGCCTTTCTAACTTTTACCTATCTGCATATGAATCTTCAATTAGGGATGAGCAGATGAAAGTGTGGATATCTTTTATTTTAGTAACATGAGATAATTAATAGCTATCCATAGATGATTATTCCTTGGCTTTTTTTTATGGTTGTTGTTGGAGCAGATGCTCTATAATGATTATTCCTTGCCTGATAATAAACTTGTGACTGCATGGAAATAGTAGAAAGATTAGAAAATCCAGAAAAATAAAAGGTAAACCAGAAATGAAAGTGTTCAACCCATTAAGAATCACAAAGGTAAAACCATCCAGAACATTAGGTTGTATATGTATTTGTCACATTTTATGTCTCTAACTAACTATTTCTGAAGAGGGTAAATAAATTTTGAACCATATTCAAAATGGATTCATACCTTCCTTCCTCATTGTAATACATCTACTCAGACTGGTCTTTCTAGTCTGCAGCAACCTCGAATAAACTAAGGCATCGAATTCATCGTAAGAAAAGAAAAGGACAACAAATTTTTTTACATGCTAAGTGTGAGAATGTGAAGGTAAAAAGTATAAGGAGTTGGGCTACTTCCCCCATAGCCAATTGGTTTTGGGTTGGAATCTTAACTTCCTTCATGGTATCAGAGCAGGTTGCCCACGTGTGAAAGCCCAACGGCCACACGTGCTCCACGTCACCCAAAATGTGTTATCCACGTGTTAGGCTTGAAAATTCGCCACACGTGCGGGGGCGTGTGAGAATGTGAAGGTAAAAAGTCCCACATTGGAAAGTTGAGAAATCTAGCAAGGGCTTATAAGGAGTTGGGCTACTCCCCCCATTGCCAATTGATTTTGGGGTGGAACCTCAACTTCCTTCACTAAGTACTAATTGATAACTCTGAGATCCAAAGTCACGACCCTAATAACCAGAGGAAAAGTGGGCCAAACTCTCCCCTCCTTCAAGTGCAACTGGGTTCAATTCACGCGGGAGACAATCTTGAGACTCCCCTCTCTCCCTCCCTAGCAAATGACAAAAAAACAACCAGAGGACTCGAACATGATACAAAGTTTTGGCAATTGACTCAATCTAGACTTCTATACAGAGATGAAGATTTCGAACAAAATTAATACAGAAAATGAAGAGTCAAAGACCGATTCAAAACTTAAACATGTTTGAGATCCAAGCGCATCTGCAAATTCAGTTTTGCTCTCTAAAATACAAGAACAATTTTACCTATACTAAAGTTTACGGGACATGACAGTTAAAGCAGAGCCAAATGAGGAGTAAGACCACAGAGCTCAGTCCTCGTCATCTTTCTCTTTAGTCTGATTTTAGCACACACAATTAGGCATGACCACATCAAAGTGTAGTAATGCCCTTAATTTTGAATTAGGTGAGATAATATAAGGTAAGAAAATTGACAAAACAATCATGTATATTTTAATAGCATCTAACATGTCTGCAGAGGTGGACTACCAACTCATTAAACTATATCAGTTATTTAGGAGATAGCTCTGGGCACAAGTAGGCAAGGCGCTGCCTAGGGCCCCAAATTAGGAGGGCCCCCAATTTGTAGAATACCCTATATATACATATCTACATTATTTTTAAAAACTATAATATATAAATATTATGTTAGATCCAAACCAATTATGGTGTATTTACTAATCAGGAATTGAATTCCACATATGGAGAATTCCTGCGTTTACTTCACATCAATGAATTAAAAAGTAAATGGGGCCCACACAAAACTAGGAATTGAATTCCCGATTTTGGAGGAATTCAATTCTTGAATAGGAGGTGGTATTCTAATTCCTGTAGAAGTTATTAACCCATTAGGAATTCATTTTTTTTACCCATTATATCCTTACACAATTTTAAAATTCCAAATTTGTCATCTACTTTAACCCAACAATGAGGACATTTTAGTAATTAGCACCACTCCTATCCCAATTCCATATGGTTTAGTAAACAACTTCAGTAGGAAAACGGAATCTAACTCTCCTTAATCCATATGATTTAGTAAACAACTTCAATAGGAATCCCAAATCTAATTCTCCTCAATCCAATTCCTCTTCAATTCAATTCATCCTCAATTTAATTTATTCTAATTCAATTATGGATTAGTAAACATGCCATTATTGTAAATGTAAAAAAAAATTACCTAATCATTCAATTCAAAACAAAAAAGAGGAAACTCAATAAAGGCCTGCTCATTGTAAAAACAAAAAACTTGCCCAATTACTCAATTCAAAATTAAAAAGAGGAAACTCAATAAAGACCCAATTATTTTTTAAACTTATAGCTTAAATCAATTAACCTAGTTGAATCAATTAGGAAATTGAAGAAGACATGGTAGAAAAACTTGATTATGTAAAGTTAATTGATAAATTTGAATCGAAAATACAAGACAAGTTATATTTAAGTGATGTTTTGATGTGTTTTTTAAAGTTGTTATGTAAATTACATATTGATTGTTTCTTTTACGTTACAATTGTGAATTTGAGTTCATATAATGTTTTTTTAACTTACTGAAGAGAAAAAAAAATCACATAAATATACATATAGAATAGAAAGCCTCATTTAGGATGTTCACCTAGGGCCTCCAAAACGTAGAATCACCACTGGTTTCCTATTATTTTCATTAATTAGAAAAATTAACCATAATGTTAGCCTTCCCCAATTCCCTCTCTCCCTCCTTCCTCTCCTCTTCCCATTGCCAGCCAAAGCTCCACCAGATCTCTACCACTCTCCATTCCCTCCTCCTTGGTTTTGTGGTTAATTATAGCCATAGTCTGACCTTAAAAAGATATGGTAAGCATAGAATTACTCTTTACATGTGGATGAAATTTAGGTCATAAATACATCGCAAAGTAAAAATTCAACGAACCAACTAGCAAGTGGTCTAGCGACACTTCTCATCTCAATATTAGAAAAGCACCCAAACTACCCCATTTTCTCCAAAGTGATCCAAAACGAAAAGATCAATGAATGTATCCTCGTCTTATGACGTGAAGCACCTAGCTGCCTAGAAACCAGGCATCTGGCAACAAAACTAATTTGTTCCATAAGCCCAGCAAAAACGGCCTAAGGTTCATAACAACCACGTTGGGTTTTTAGTTCTTTTCCCTGCCGTTCCAGCCACCACAATCATCCACCCACCCACAATAGAGTTTCATCATATCCAACATTAATCTCACAACCCCATTTTAGCGTATACCTGTCACCCCAAACCACAACTTTGTCATTTTTATCATTAAGCTTGTCTTCTTTTTTCTCAATCCTTATCAACTCAATGTCCCTGGACCTATATTTTCTCACCACAACGCTACCACTTTCTGATATAAAGACCGTTCTTAAACCCCTAGGGCGCTCTGGTGGGCCGAAAATCTTGAACTTGAAGAACTTAGTCCATGATTCAAGCACGCCATATTCTGTCATGACCCAGAAATCAATAGAGTCACAATCACAAGACTTGTGTTGTAATGCACACAGGCATCCTTCAAGAAGCCCTAGATATTGGAAAGGCATATCGTCAAGTTCGCAAGTAACAGGCAGAGGCACCTTCCGAAACTCCTCCTTGGCCAAATCAAAAGCAAACATATACAGTTGGTGACTCGGGAGCCAATGTAGTGCCTCATTTAAAAGAGTCCCATTATCAGTTTGTATGATGGACTGATCATCAGGGCCTTTCATCCTCTTCCAAACGATGGCTCTCAATGAGAAGATCGCAACCTCCCCGAAATCAGTGGCTACCACAAGTTTGTAGTCGTCAATAGCCGATACGTACCCGAAACCATAATAACAATTATGCAGAATAGGCATTTCAGTTCTTGGCCACAAACCAAAGGAACCTGTGTTAGATAATGTCTTGGACAATCCGGTTGATGGGTTCCAGATATAAAACTTTTCGTGAACACCAATCGCACATACCAAGCCGTTGCACGAGCCCAGTATCTTGGCACCATCGTCCAGCTTAAATGGGCTGACAAGCTTCCTCACTGAATTTTTATCTCCAAACGACGGCGCTTCCAAGTCTAAGGATTCAAGTTGAGAGTCAGTTGAGAGGAGGAGTCTGCGGTTGAGGGTTTTCTGCTTGGACACTAATTTAAAATGGGATTGCGCGAATTCTGGGTCAGAGATTACTAAAGAACGCCACCGTTTCGAAACGCAACTGAATCGGATTAAAGATTTCACCGGCAGCCTCAAGAAAACATGCACAATAATATCATCAGGGAGGGTAGTATTCGCCATTGCCGTTGCTTACTCTTTTTTATTAGCTTTTGTTGGAAGGAACCCTGGATTTATAGACATCTATTTGGTGGATTTTGATAAGAACTTTGCCTCTATAGATCGGGAAATAGATATATAATCTCCTGATTAAGAAATATGTAGGATGCGAAAACAAAAATAAAGAAACTAGGTTAGACAAAGAATTCCATGTGCCTTTAGGATTAGTGGGAGTTTGTCCGTATATATGAAGCTTCTCTATTTCACTTCATATATATAACAGAAACTGCATAAAAATAAGGGTTTATTTCACTTTAGTACCTAAATTCTCACCCTTAAGGCATGTTTGTCCATGCACTCTCAATTTTAACAATCATGTACCCTAATCTTTCTAATTTTTTGCAATATGGATTCAGCCGTCAAAATTTATGTTAATTGCTTACGTGGTTGGCTTGGGTCCCACCTATTTGCTTCTTTTGATGTGAGTTGAAGGGTAAAAGTACTTGGGAAAGACACCAATTGCTCGAAAATACCTTTCAACTGACATTGAAAGAAGCAAAAATGTGGGACCCATGCTTGCCACGTAGACAACTAAAGGAGATTTTGACGGCTGAAACTATATTGCAAAAAATTAAAAAGATTAGGGTACATGATTGTTAAAATTGAGAGTGCATGGACAAACATGCCTTAAGGGTGAGAATTCAAGGTACTAAATTGAAATTAACCCTAAAAATAAAGCCACTCACATAGCACGTTACGAATATACAAGACCAAATAATACAATATTAAACTTATTAAAAACAAAAAGAGGAGGAAGCATTAAACTTTAACATTTAAACCTTTATAGAAGAACATTTACTCCTGCATCTGAGGTCTTCTCCCCTCCCTCAATATTGCATGTATATATTTATATAAAAAAAACAAAAAATTTGGGTTTTGTCTCACTTGTATAAATCTGGGCTTTGTCTCTCTTGGTACTAGAGAGAGAAAGAGAGACTGAGACTGAGACTGAGAGTTATGATGGGTCACTAGGCATGGGGATGGGGGAGGTTGATAGGTACGGTCGTGCGGTGACTGGGATAGGGGTAGCGATTGTCGTGGATGTTTCGGATGGGGATAGAGAATTGAGGTTGGGGGTGCGTTGGTGAGAGCAATTGGTGGTTTATAGGGGTTTTGGGTTAGTTTTTTTTATTTTTATACTTTTTAAAGGAAATTCATTTTGTAATTATTTTTGTGTGCCACATCAGCATAAAAATGGAATTTACATTTGCCACATCAGCATTTAACGAATCTACTAACAAATTGGGTAATGGTCAATCTCTTTTGAAAGGTACTGCGAAGTTTGTGTACTGGTCAAAGGAGTCAATAAACATTGGGGTATGAGTTTGTAATTGCCCCCATAGTTTGGGGAGTTTACTGTAGTTAATCCTTAGTTTGATAAGTGGTGTCAAAACACACAAAATCACCAAATTGACCATAATCAACAATCATCTTAGCATCAGCCCAACATATATTCGTAATTTGCTCATCACAATCTAATTGCACAGCGTAAAAAAATGAGGGGTTTTCCAATGCTTGATTCTGAAAATATTTTAGTAAGCTTCATGCTTCTCCATATGCCAATTTTCTTTACCTCTTGGTGCGATTGTAATTTTTTGATCTTGTTTGATATATCCAAAAGACTCTCTTCCACCAACTTGCCTACCCATTAATTTGTATGCCTGCCTAAGTGGAGTTTCTTATACCAAATCCACTTCAGTAGCTTGTGAAGTGGATATTCTTCTCTGAGATGGCATCATATGAATGCATTCCTATCTTACAGGAGGATGATTGTGGTTTTCCATAAAATGGCTAATTTACCATTACATTTGTTCTACTTAATGGTCTTTGTTTCTGTTCGAGAATTTTTAGTGAAATAATCTCACTTATCTTTTGGTCGAAAACCCTCCTTGGAACAAACAAATATTCTTGAAGTTATTTGACCAGCGTGCTTATTCCTGTTTTGTGTATCTCTTCTAATACTAAACCCGGCTCTTCGGCCATACTCATTGTAAAACTCATATGCAGCTTGTTCTCCATACCATCTCTTGGCCTATAATCTAAATCATCTTCACCAATAATCGTTGCATCAATTGAATTATTCATTCTCAATCTATAAACAAACACAATAATTTTAATATATAAATACAATGACTATAGTCAAATTTAGAACCGAGTAGATGGCAGCAAAAGCATTGAAGCCCAACCCAAAAGCCATAAACACACAGAAAATAAATATAAATAAAAAGAAAGATATAGAACGTACAACTCACAAATATTACTCAAAACAACTTCGTAGTGTCCGTTCAGAAAGAGGGTGGAGAAGCTGAAGCAAATGAAACGAAGAAAACAAAAGATGAGTAAAATAGTAGGAAAATGGGAGACATCCAGTAAAAAAAACTAAACAATTGCAGAGACTTTTTAGAAGAAGAAGAGAGAAGAGATAAAATACATGTGCAATAGGGTGGAGAAGCTGAGAGAAAGTTTTTTTTTTTTTTTAAACTGAAGAAGAATAGTAGAACTGTAGGAAAGGGAGAGGAGAGATGACGTGATGTAGAAAAAAGTTTAACGATGTTAAGTTTCCTGTTAGTCTAACGATGTTAAGTTTCCTTTAGGCATCTCTGGAGTGTTTTTTTATTTTTTTTTTTTTTTTTTTTTGAAAATGTGGTAAATGTATTTTTTTGATGAAAAGGGATTAAACAAGTACAAAAGCCACATTTTGTCCTAGAGGATTAGGCGAGCATCTCTACATATACGAGCTTGTAGTTGTCAAACTAACTATGTAGTCATTATCAATTAATTGGATTTTGATCTGAATCCTGTGTAATTAATAGGAGATGTATTAGACTTCTCAATCCGATAGTCCGATTACATGTATATCAATCAGATAGCTCTCTTCATCTATATATGTTGGGTTTTTAGTCTTTTTCCCTGCAGTTCAAGCCCGCCATAATCATTGACCCACAATAGAGTCTCATCGTATTCAATCAAGTCACAAATATGATGACACCCATTTACTGTATATCGGCCATCCCAAACCACTACCTCGTCATTTTAATCATCAAGCTTCTCTTCCTTTTTCCCAATCCTTATCCACTCCATGTCTGTGGACGAACATTTGATCGCCACAGCGGTACCATTTTCAGTTACAAAGACCGGTTTGAAAGTCCAAGTGGAAATGGGCTTAGGATGGTCGAAAATCTTTAACCTAGAGATTTGTCCAAGAGTCAGGCACATCATACTCTGTCATGACCCAGAAATCAATACTCACAAACATCATACTTGCACCGTGATACACACAAGCATCCCTCAAGAAGCCCTACATGATGGAAATTCATATCGTCAATGAGAAGATGTTAACCTCAACCTTGACACAAAAATTAAGGGCTACCACAACTTTTTAGTCGTCAGTAGCCGATACATAACCGAAACTATTGTATAGAGCAGACAGACGCAACATATTTTCTGACCACGAGTCTGAAAACCCTCTTTCTGATAATTTCTTGCACAATCCGGTTGATGGGTTCCAGATATAAATTTTTTTTATGAAAACGAAATACTGCTAAGCATACCAAACCGTTGCACCCAGTATCTTAGTACCATAGTCCACCTTAAATGGGCAGGTATATTTACTCACTGAAGAATTGTCTTGAAATGACAGCGCTTCCAAGTCTAAGGATCCAAGTTGAAAGGAAGTTGAGAAGAGGAGTCTGTGGTTAAGGGTTTTATGCTTCGACGCTGTGAAGATATTATTATTAGTTGTTTATTTTTGAGTTGTTTGAATAATCCCTAAGTTGTAGGAAGTAGTTGGGTTTATCTTTAACTGTTTCTCTAGCCAGTATCCCATGATATTAGGACTTGTTATTCGTGGGATAGTGCTTCAGCTTTTTCCGTTGGTTTCAGTTCATATAAAGGCTATATATCCTAGTTCTTTTATCTTGAATAGACATTGTGAGAAATCTTATTCTTCTCAATCATATTCTCAAGCAAAACTTAGTTTAATACTAACAGTTGGTATCAGAGCCCCAACTGGGGTAGAGAGAGCATAAGGAAGCTTGCAGCAGCAAGAATTAATGGCAGGAGAAGGAAGTAGCTTCGTGCAACCAGCAATTCCACACTTCAATGGTCATTGTGATCACTGGAGCATGTTGGTTGAAAACTTCTTGAAGTTCAAAGATTATTAGGGCCTAGTGGAGAATGGAATCAAGCAGTATGTAGAGGGTGCAAAGTTAACATAAGCTCAAATGAAAGCCTTAGAGGATCGAAGCTTAAAGATTTGAAGACCAAGAACTATCTCTTTCAAGCCATTGATAGAGCTATATTGGAGACCATCTTGAAGAAAGATACAACGAAGGATATATGGGATTCAATGAAGAAGAAATATCAAGGGACGGCGAAAGTCAAGCGTGCTCAACTTCAAGCTCTTCGCAAAGAGTTTGAGATGCTCAATATGAAGGTTGGAGAGTCAGTTGATGAGTATTTTGGAAGGACTCTAAACGTGGCTAACAAGAAGAGGATCAATGGAGAGAAGCTGGAAGATGTAGCTGTTATCGAAAATATTCTGAGATCAATGACACCAAAGTTTGACTATGTGGTGTGTTCGATTGAAGAATCAAAAGATCTTGATAATTTCTTGATGAACTACAAAGCAACCTTTTGGTACATGAACAACGGATGAATGGCAATGCAATGCGAAAACAAGCATTGAAGGTGAGCCAAGAGAATCACTCTCCAAGGAGAGGAAGAGGAAGGGGTCGAGGAGGCTTTCGAGGACGCCAAGGATCATTTGATAAATCAAATGTGGAGTGTTACTACTGCCATGAAATGGGACACTTTCAATATGAGTGTCCTAAAAAGGAGTATGAAACAAAAGCCAATGTAGCTAAAACTGAAGAAGAGTTGTTGCTGATGGCATATGTGGAAGTCAAGGGAGAACAAATCAACAACACATGATATTTGGATTCAAGCTGTAGCAATCACATGAGTGGAAACAAGAAGATGTTCACCAAACTTGATGAGAAGTTCAGGGAGACTGTAAAGCTTGGTAATGATTCAAGCTTAAAAGTACAAGGAAAAGGAGATGTCAAAATTAAAGTCAATGGTGTTGTACAAACCATATTAGATGTGTTCTATATGCCTGAATTAAGAAGCAATCTGATCAGCCTTGGTCAGCTTCAAGAAAAGGGGTTTGCCATTCTAATTCAAAAGAATTGTTGCCAAATTCATCATCTGGAGAAAGGTTTAATTATGCAGGTTGAAATGGCTTCCAACATAATGTTTCCATTACAAACACAAGCTGCATTAACCAAGCAAGTCTGTCTGAAATCCACTATCCAAGATGATACTTGGTTGTGGCATTTTAGATATGGACATCTGAATTTCAAAGGCCTAAAGACTTTATAGTAGAAAAACATGGTGGGAGGGCTACCTCAGTTGCAACCTTCAGTTAGGGTTTGTGAAGAATGTGTGAAACAACACAGAGAAGTTTTTCCAAAGGAAAGCACTTGGAGAGCATCATTAGTATTACAACTTATTCATTCGGACATTTGCGGACCTATAGATCCTATTTCCAACAGCAACAAAAGGTATTACATTACCTTTATTGATGATTATAGCAGGAAGACTTGGATACATTTTTTTAGCTAAAAAGTTAGAAGCCCTGGCTGTTTTCAAGAAGTTCAAAGCTGCTATGGATAAGGAAACTGATTTGTTCATCAAAACATTAAGAACTGATCATGGAGGAGAATTCGATTCACAAGAGTTTGTTGATTTTTGTGAAATGAATGAAATTGAAAGATAGTTGACAACAGCTTATTTACCACAGCAAAATGGAGTAACCGAGAGGAAGAATCGCACCATCATGAAAATGGTCCGTAGTATGCTCACTTTGAAGAAAGTTCCTAGAAGGTTTTGGCCATAAGCTGTGAACTGGAGCAACCATATCCTCAACAGATGTCCAACCATAACAATGAAGAATGTTACTTTAGAAGAAGCTTGGAGTGGAAAGAAACCTAATGTTAGCTACTTCAGAATATTTGGCTGCCTGGCATATGCTTATGTAAGTGATTCTCAACGTGTTAAACTTGATAATAAGAGTGCGAAATGTGTAATGCTTGGTGTTAGTGAGGAATCAAAAGCTTACAAGTTGTACAATCCAAATAAACAGAAGATTATTATTAGTAGTGAAAGATGGGATTGGAGTCTTGGAAAAGATCAACATGTCATTGTTGACCTAGAAGCAGCTGAAGAAATTGAAAATACCACACCACGAGCTTCTCAAAATGAGTTACCAAAAAATGACTCATTAGAGAACAACTCCTCATAACCTAATGAAGCAATGACTAAGGGAACAAGAACAAGAAGAGCTCCTAGATGGCTAACTGATTATGTGGCTGGAGAAGAACTAACAGATGAAGAAAATGGCACAGATGAAGAAAATGGCGCTCACTTTGCTTTGTTCATTAATAGTGATCCAATCACCTTTGATGAAGCTGTTAAAAGCTCAAAATGGAGGAAAGCCATGGGTGTTGAGATTGACGCCATCCAAAGAAACAATACATGGGAGCTTACTGATCTACATGTGGGAGGAAAAACTATCGGAGTCAAGTGGATTTTCAAAACAAAGATCAAAGAAAATGGTGAGATTGACAAGTACAAAGCTAGGTTAGTAGCAAAAGGATACTCTCAAAAGCATGGCATTGTTTATACATAAGTTTTTGCACTTGTAGCTCGACATGATACCATTCGATTAGTAATTGCTTTAGCTGCCAAAAATGTCTGGGATATCCACCAACTTGATGTAAAATCAGCATTCTTGCATGGAGAATTAAATGAGCTAGTCTATATGGATCAACCTATTGGCTATGAACAGAAGGGGCAAGAGCAAAAGGTTTATCGTTTGAAGAAAGCTCTATATGGACTGAAACATGCTCCTAGAGCTTGGTACAACCATATTGAAAGCTATTTTCTGAAAACAGGTTTTGTGAAGTGTCTATATGAACATACCTTGTTCATAAAGCATCAAGAGGTGTTCATAAAGCATCAAGAGGTAAAATCTTGATTATTTGTCTCTACGTTGATGATTTAATATATACAGGAAATGATACAACCATGATCACTGAGTTCAAGACCTCCATGATGAATGAGTTCGAGATAACAGATCTAGGAAAGATGCAATACTTCTTGGGTATTGAAGTGAAGCAATCTACAGATGGAATCCTTGTTGGGCAGAAAAAATATGCAAAAGAAGTGCTCAAAAGGTTTTGTATGGATGATTGCAATGTTGTACAAACCCAATTGTTCCAGGAACCAAGCTCATTAAAGACACTGAATGACAAAAAGTTGATAGCACTCATTTCAAGCAGATTGTGGGGAGCCTAATGTATTTGACTAATACATGTCCAGATTTAATGTATGTAGTTAGTCTCATAAGCAGGTTCATGGAATCACCTACTGAAGTGCATCTTCAAACAGCAAAAAAGGATACTTCGATACTTGAAGGGAACCACATATTATGGTTTGTTCTACAAGAAAAGATTGAAAGGAGATTTTCTGTTAAGATATAGTGACAGTGATTATGTTGGTGATTTAGATGATCGAAAGAGTACTTCAGGGTATGTTTTTATGTACTGTTTAGCAACTATTGCTTGGTCCTCAACCAGTTACACTTTTAACAACTAAGGATGAATTTATTGCTGCTGCATCATGCGCATGTCAGGCTGTTTGGTTAAGGAGATTACTTAATGAGTTGCATTGTTCACAGTATGACTCTACTCTAATATACTGTGACAATAGTTCAACTATTAAGTTATCTAAAAGCCCAGTTATGCACAAAAGAAGTAAGCATATAGACGTTCGATTTCACTTTCTGCGGGAGCTCACTGAAAAAGAAATGGTGAATTTGGTTCATTGCCGAACTCAAGAACAAGTTGCAGATATTCTAACAAAGACATTGAAGCTAGATGATTTCAGAAGGATGTGCAGTTCACTTGGAGTATGTTCAAGTTCAGATGTAAACTGATTGCTTAATCGCATTCAATTTAAGGGATGATGTGAAGATATTATTATTAGTTGTTTATTTATTATTAGTTGTTTATTTTTGAGTTGTTTGAATAATCCCTAAGTTGTAGGAAGTAGTTGGGTTTATCTTTAATTGTTTCTCTAGCTAGTATCCCATGAGATTAGGACTTGTTATTAGTGGGATAGTGCTTCAGCTTTTTCCATTGGTTTCAGTTCATGTAAAGGCTATATAGCCTAGTTCTTTTATCTTGAATAGACACTGTGAGAAATCTTATTCTTCTCAATCATATTCTCAAGCAAAACTTAGTTTAATACCAACATACACTAATTTAAAATGGGATTGTGTGACTTCTGGGTCAATGATTACTTAAGAACGTCACCATTTCAAAATGCAACTAAATCGGATTAAAGATTTCACCGGCAGCCTAAGGAGAATATCCATAAGAATATCATCAGGGAGGGTAGTCTTGAATGAAGAATACTTGAACGACGCTTCTAGTTGCAATTTCCTAAAAATAATCCTATAAACCTAATAATCAAAAGCTTATGTCCCGTTGCGATTGCCACACTATATACGCTAAAACCACCAACTAGTTTCTTCGACCAACAGATAATTACAGGAAGCAAGTAACACGGAACTAATGGAGAATGTTAATATAAAAAAATGAAATAAAAATGCAGGAACCAAGTGTTTGCTTTTGGGTTAGATGCTCACATTCTAATATGGATACATGTTACCCAGTATTTGGCCCATTGTCAAATGTTATGTTAGTAGTTTCTAAAAAATTTGCAAAACCCACTTTTATGCATTTGTATCTTTTATATCAGTGGCCAGTGAATAAAATTCTAGACGTATACGTTGGAGATGATAACCTTGCATTAATAGTTCAAATGATCTCAAGTCTCTCCACTCATTACCAGTTGTTTTGGATTGAACATCATATTCTAATAATTTTTACATGTACAACCCAAGATGACAAATACCACATGCACTTTTCCGAATCATAAACAATTTCAACCATTGTCATTCCAATCTTGCACATTACATCTAATTAAACAAACACGAACTAATATAAAAGTTTGGTAAAATGAGATGACTCAATCTACTTGAATGGAGAACACGATAGACACAAACACGAACTAATAATACAGTTCAAAGAAAACACAACGATCCATCCTGAAGTTGGTACTGGAAAAGGCCAACAACTGCAACCGATTCGAAGGAGGACAATCGACCATAATTTGAGTTGCAAAGCTAGCTATCAGTCTTCACATGCACACAAGAAATAAACTGAGTTATAAGGAAATCAAAGTGTAGATAACTTTAATTTGTAATGAGACAAGAAAATAAGATCTGGGAATCAATATAGCATCAATTTTATTTGCTTATTTTTATCTCTCTATTCAGCCATTGCTAATGAACATGTTTCTAAAACGCGGAAAACGATTTTCTCTGAGTCATAATGAGCAGAACTTATATGGATTTGTATCACTTCAAGTCACAAACTTTAACCTAGCTAGAAGAGAATTAAATGGTGTTTTGTACATAAGTTAAAATGAGAGTACTCTGATTACTCACTCATCTGAACTGAAACAGTTTTAATACCTATTGCATAATAACATCAGATAATTGGTAGTTGTTTGGAGTAATCTTGTGAGCTAACATATTAATGCTGTATGAAAACAATATGACGAGTAATAGAAATCATGAAAATAAAAAATAAAGCAGAAGATAAACATGTTCAACCTCTTCAGAATAAAAAGATATATAACCATCTTGAATATTTGATTTTATAAATACTTCGAGCACGTTTACTTATCAGGAAAGAGTATGAGAATTATTCCACTTTCTACTTCTCCTGTATTTACTAGCTAACACATGGGTGTTGAAATTATTTTCATTCATGACTTTCCCTCACATAAGAAATCAAATATATGTTGGTTCCATATATAATATGTAATCTATACCTATAAAGCCATAAACTAGATTGATTAGGGGTAGTAGTTGATCCCATTTTCATTCCTCTCTCCCTATTCCTAACTTTATGTTTCTTCGTCCAAAAAAAAAAAATTATGTTCTCAATTACTTCCCCCATTCCTAATAGTTGATCACATTCTCATTCATCTCTCCCCAATTCTTCCCATTTCTAGGTTCTACGTCTTCTATGTGTTCTAACCAATCATGTATGAAGAGGCTAAATGAATTTGAATTATATTTCGAAATAGATCCGTACCATCCACATTGTGGATACATCTATTGTACGTATCTAGTTAGATTAACCCTCTAGTCTCTAGAAACTTCCAATAAACCATGGCACTGAATTAATCCCATGAAATCTGACACTTTGCGTATGTGTCTTTGGCAAATTTTTCCAAAGACAACACTCATATGTTGTCCAAAAAAAAGCGTGAAGCATACACATCAAAAGAAAATCATGTTTTGAGTTTCAGAGGCATTATCCAAAAATTAAATAATCAATAACAATGAATTAGCAGAAGATAAACAAGTAACAATTTAAAATGCATATGAAGAGCAATAAAAACAAGAAGGTCAAAGATTCAAATGAAGAGTAACAAACCAGAATTTCGACATAGGCAAAGCAATCATGCCCCCTCTTCATTCTTTTTGGTGGAAGCCCCCTCTTCATTCTTTTGGGTCGAATCTCGCTCTTCATTTCCGCCTTGTGTTGGGTTTTGGTACTCAATAAGCGAAAGCAGGCTCTCATCATATTGCACCACTTCTTCCAAAACCTCCCCAGCTGGATGTCGGCGACTGGTAACGACGACGTTTCCAAGCTTCTCAATCCTTATCAACTCATTTTTGTCATAGTATATCGCCACAACTGTGCCACTTTCAGTATGGAACACCGTCTTCAAACACCTTAATGGATTAATATCAGGAAGACCGAGATCATCGGCAACACTATACTTAAATAGCTTAGTCCAAGAATTATGAACACCATATTCTTTCATCACACAGAATTCGATATACATCTTATCCGCCGTCCAAAGCCACAGACAAAGGGATCCTCCCAGAAAAACCCCTATATGGGTCCAATACCTCTGATCCATGTCCATGATCTCCAGGTCGGCGACTTCGGCGTCCTCCTCCAATTCGCCCACCTCTTCGTCAGCCTCGTCAAAAGTAGGAGCCAACATGTACCAAAACTCCTCCTTTGCCAAATCGAAAACCAGGATACGCTGTCTATGTTGTTCGTCCAATAGGTCGAGCCAATGGAGCGCCTCATTTGAAAGAGCCCCCTGTGTATAGCCTGTCTTGAGGTAATAATGGGGAGGGTCTTCAATCGCTGCCCAGGCGTTGGCTCTCAATGAGTAGACCAAGTACTCACCAATCGCCTCATCGCCTTCTCGCTCATAACAAGCAACGAGAACTTTGTAGTCGTCAGTGGCCGAGACATAACCAAAACCATGGTTGGAAAATGTTACTTCCCCTTGCGACAAAAAACCTGGAAAATGTAAGTTGTGGAGGAACCCAGTCGACGGGTTCCAAATAGACATATTTTCATAAGAACCTTGACATACAAAGACCAAACCATTGCACGATCCCAAAAAACGTAAATGGCCCGGTTCATTGAATGGGGAGCTCAGCCTTCTAACCCCAGAATTGTCTCCAAACGACCTTGTTTCCAAGTCTATTGATTCGAGTCCGGAGGTCTGGGTGGAAACGAGGAGTCTGTGGCTGAGGGTTTGCTGCTCTCTCGCTAGTTTGTAGTGGGTTTTGGCAAACTCCGGATCATGGATTATTTTCGAAAGCCACTGTTTCGAAACGCAGCTGAATCTGATTAAGGATTTTACTGGAAGCCTGTAGAGAATTCTGAGTGTCATTTCTTCAGGTATGTGTCGCTTGAATAACTTCTTAACCGGCATTGTCCTTAATTTTTTCTTTTGTCCCCCGAAGGCTGGAACCCTAGATTTGGAGAAAGCTGATATTTAGGGTGGGCGGATCTAGGGCTAGGTGGATTTTGACACAAACCTGCTTGATCTAGAGACACAGAAGAAACGGATCTAACCATAAAAATCAACAAACATGTAAGATCTATAAACAAACATAAAGAAATTGATTTCCAGCAGCTGAAAATCTAAATTTCACCTGTGATTAGAGAGAGAGAGAGAGAGAGAGAGAGAGAGCAAAAAGAAATAGCAGGGCAAGATCGAGCTGGAAGAAGAGATGTAGAAGAGTGTAGAAGACTATGAAGATAAGCTCGAGTATACTGAGCCTGACGAAGTTGGTAACGCCTTCGCTGACACACCAACCTCCCCTATTTTAACATTTATTTTTGGTACAGTGAGCATCTTCCTCTATTTTAACGTCTTGCAAAAGGATAAGGCTATGTGGTTTATATGGAAATGCAGAATAAGGTCTACGTGTGAGATCTCAATCCCAGATATCTCACAGACTGGTGTAGTTCTTGGAATATGGATGTTATTTTTTTAAATGATGAAACAATTGCTATTTTTCCCGCTAAACCAGTTCCCGCGAGTGTTCCTTATACGCTCCATTTTCATTTTTTTGACGCGTAACAAACTCGCTATCAATACGTACATTAATAATGCTAGGAACACTAAATTTGATTTTCAAATTATGTGACACCTGCCACCACGCCATTAAGATTTAACTAACCAAATCCAACTTCAATTACGATTTAGTTAATTTCTTTTTGGAAGAAAACTAAAAAACTTATAACTTTATTTATCACAAGCCCTACAATTAGCCCTAAACGATCAAGCTTGATGTTGTACCATCCTTTCCTAACATCACTCTATGCATTTTCAGTTGTTATATAAGTTATCAATAATATTGGTTAGTTATAATAGAATATATACAAGGTTTTTTTAATTTTTTTTAATTTTAATACAAGTGCTATTCTACTTTAATGTAATCTAAACTACGGGAAGAGGGATTCAAACTCGAGTGCAGAGTCGTGAGCACAACCACTAGCTCGTGTCTGCTAATAGAACATATACAAGTTGACAATACTATTTTTTAATTATAATAAAAATGTATTAATACTAAGGACAAATTTTAGAATTAATTGAAGGGATATTCATTATTATAACCAATATAGAGGCCCAAATTATAAAATAAAAAATAAAAAATAAAAAAACCTATATGAAATGGACTTTAGAAACACACCCAAAGCCCATTTACAACATAACAAAGAGGCTTTTAACTTCTTTTAAATTACAAAACTTTCATCGATTTCTTAAAACAAGCTCAACCCCAAAACCTCATAAATAAATAAAAACTCAAAATACTCAATAGGGCATCAAAGTAATTTAATAATCAAAATTAAATTCAATAAGGCCAGTTGTCATTTTCTGAGTTTATTTATAGAAATTAAATGGTGTAGTATTTATCTATATCATTAGTGCTAAAAATGGATATATGACTTATCTCTTAATTGAATTGCTACGTAGTTGTACCCCAAAAAAAAATTTATGGTGTTTAGATTGTCCAGCAACATATATGCCAATGGATATATAATACGTACCTAAGTAGATTGTCAATTAACTCAGTTTTTTTGAGTTCAAAGCTCATTTCTTTACAGTTGATTGAAAAGAATAAAGCTCCCCTTTTGTTATCAGTTTTTTAAGCACATGATTTTAACTGAGTTTCAAATATGGTACTTAGTTCAGCTTTGAAACAATTCTATTAGTTATTCTGATTTAAATTATGTAGCGAGTAAATATTAGATGAAATTCATTATCACAAGTGAGTTAATGTGAAACCCAAAAAATAAAGCTTGCTAGAGAATTAAGAACAATTTCAATAAATAAATAAAACTTTGCTATAGATTTAAAATATGAAATTCATTTGTTTCTTTTTCTTCTTTAAAATATTAATATATGTTGCGTAATTTAAATAATTAGTATCAGGTTTTAAGCTGTGCATCAAATTGATGGCAATGCTTAGATATTTTGTTTTGAGAAAAATATTGTGAGCAAAGGAAATCCTTAAGCATAATGCAATTAGTTAATTACATGAACATCAAGATTTAATAGACATTGAATTGTAAAGAGGCTCTACTAGATCCTGGGTTCGATTCCTGCCGTTGGTGAATCAAGCGATGAGGGCCAGGGACGGGGTGAAATTCCCTATAGCCTCTCCGGGTCCCGGAAGGGGTGGATGGCCGTGGCTTGCCACCAGCTGTCCCCCCCTTTTTTTTCTTTTTTTTTCTTTTTTTTTAAAAAATTAACATAAGTTTGACAAAATATGAAGCGGTATATGTGAGTTAAATCAGTTGACTACACCCGACTCTCGAATTTGATTCCCCTACACGCACATAGCTTAAAACATCACCTTGTAAAAAAATAAAGTAAGATAAAAAAGACAGAAACTAAACAGAAGCCCAAACTAAAGACATCGACCAAAATTATTTTTTAACCCTTTTATTTTGGCTTGCAGTCCTAAAGGGTCTAAACATGGGAAGGAACTAGTCTTATAGTCGGCTTAGATGAACCAGCTTTCATGTGCCTTGCAAAACTTTCGCCACCTTTTGAAAACATGCATAGCCGAGAGAGACCTCTTTACAGGCAAAGCTCTCCATGCACTATATTTCAAGTCCCTCCTTCCTCCTTCCACATACCTTTCCAACCACTTCATCCTCCTTTACTCCAAATGTGGCCGTCTCTCCTCTGCTCGGAACGCCTTCGACCAGACCCAAGAACCCAATGTCTTCTCCTTCAATGCTATCGTCGCTGCGTATGCGAAAGAGTCCCATACCCACATTGCCCACCAAATGTTTGATAAAATTCCCCATCCGGACTTGGTCTCCTATAACACCCTCATTTCTGCTTATGCCGATCGCGGCGAGACTGAACCGGCGTTGAGTTTGTTTACTGGGATGAGAAACATGGGTCTTGACATGGATGGGTTTACCATCTCTGCTGTGATCACGGGTTGTTGTGATGATATCGGTTTGATTAGGCAGTTGCATTCGGTGGCGGTGTCAGGTGGTTTTGATTCATATGTTTCGGTAAACAATGCTCTTGTAACTTACTACAGTAAAAATGGGTTTTTGGAGGAGGCGAAGAGGGTGTTCTATGTCATGGGAGAGGTAAGAGATGAAGTGTCTTGGAATTCTATGATTGTGGCATATGGCCAGCACCGCCAAGGGTTGAAAGCCCTGGCATTGTTTCAGGAAATGGTCAGGAGGGGATTTAAGGTCGACATGTTTACATTGGCAAGTGTTTTGACTGCATTTACGTGTGTGGAGGACTTGTTGGGTGGACTTCAGTTCCATGCTAAGTTGATCAAAACTGGTTTCCACCAGAATTCACATGTTGGGAGTGGCCTGATCGATTTATATTCCAAGTGTGCTGCTGGTGGCATGTCAGATTGTAGGAAATTATTTGAAGAGATTCCTTATCCGGATTTGGTTCTTTGGAACACAATGATTTCTGGGTATTCTCAAAATGATGAGTTCTCTGAAGATGCTCTAGATTGTTTCCGTCAAATGCAACGTGTTGGTCACTGTGCTGATGATTGCAGCTTCGTCTGTGTGATTAGTGCATGCTCCAATTTGTCATCTCCCTCCCAGGGGAAGCAGATTCATGCCTTAGCAATCAAATCTGATATCCCTTCAAATAAAGTTTCAGTGAATAATGCTCTTGTTGCAATGTACTCCAAATGCGGGAATCTTCATGATGCAAGAAGGTTATTTGATAGGATGCCAGAGCATAATACTGTCTCTTTAAATTCGATGATTGCAGGTTATGCACAGCATGGGATCGGAGTGGAATCACTACGGCTTTTTGAACATATGCTTCAGATGGATATTGTTCCTTCAAGTATAACCTTTATTTCTGTCCTTTCTGCTTGTGCTCACACTGGAAAAGTTGAGGAGGGTCAGAAGTATTTCAATATGATGAAGGAGAAGTTCAAGATTGAACCAGAAGCGGAGCATTATTCATGCATGATTGATCTTCTAGGTCGAGCAGGCAAACTGGATGAAGCCGAAAGACTCATTGAGATGATGCCATTCAGCCCTGGCTCTGTTGGCTGGGCTACATTACTCGGTGCGTGTAGAACACATGGAAATATTGAACTAGCAGTGAAGGCAGCCAATCAGTTTCTTCAACTGGATCCTTCAAATGCTGCTCCATATGTGATGCTGTCGAATATGTACGCCAGAGATGGAAAATGGGAAGAAGTAGCAACAATTAGAAAACTTATGCGAGATAGAGGAGTGAAGAAAAAACCAGGTTGTAGTTGGATTGAGGTGAATAAGAGGGTACACGTTTTCGTGGCTGAAGAAATTTCCCACCCAATGATTAAAGATATTCATGAATACTTGGAAGAGATGTCAAGGAAGATGAAGCGAGCGGGGTATGTACCTGATTTAAGATGGACCTTGGTAAAGGACGATGAATCAGTGCAAGGAGAGAAGGAGATACGGTTGGGGCATCACAGTGAAAAGCTAGCTGTTGCGTTTGGGTTGATCTCGACTAGAGAGGGAGAGCCTATACTTGTGGTGAAGAACCTGAGGATTTGTGGGGATTGCCACAATGGAATCAAATTTATCTCTGCCATTGCTGGGAGGGAAATCACTGTGAGAGATGCCCACAGGTTTCATTGCTTTAAGGAAGGGCATTGTTCTTGTGGGGATTATTGGTGATATTTCTGCTAGTGAATTTCAGTTCTCTTTTGACAGCAAATGAAGATCGGCTTCTACAAGCATGACATGAATGACTTTTCAAGGAAACCAAGCGATTAGCTTTTCAATGGAAGATGCATTAGATTCATGGCTCCGAGTCTCTAACCAGGCAAAAAACATCATCAAATTCCTACCTTGGGGCAAGTTTATAGGAATTGATTATTGGTCCTGATTTTTGTGTAACACATCCCTAATTTTAACAAGATAGAAGTCAAAAGATAGAATCAGCTAGGTCATATTAGACTTCTTCTGATCAAGAAACTTTAAAATGGATGTTCTTTTTCTTTTCATGCAGCTACAAATACTCGATAACTTCTAATCATGCTCTGGTAACATGGTCACAATTCATCTACCAGAATTAGGTTCATGTCTCCTCAGAACTCAAGGACACAGCACAACCTAATACCACAAATCCTGTTCAAGTACGGTCATAACAAAATTGCTAGTGATGAGGTGGAGTCGAATGATTCAAAAAACAAAGACAGTAGGAAAATCAATTCCTGGATACAATCATTATAATCAAAAGGAATACAAATCAGTTTGAGGCGGAATACAAATCACCCTATACCAAAACAACCCAGTAGAGGTCTTGTTTTTAAATGACAACTACAACAATCTTTTCCCTTTATCAGCCTTGTGGCATACCAAAACTTTATGAATAAAAGATGCTATGATTTTTATAATTAGTGATATGAGTTAAGGTGAAACACTTGACAGCTTGGCTGGTAAGACTCCTTTGTTGTGACCTGCTCAAACTTCTTGATGGCAACTTCATTTTCTTCTAAGCTGGTCTGAACAAAGTAACGTATCCACCAAGAGGAGCTCCGCATTTTGGCCTAAAGGAAACAAAGATATCTCAGTCAGAAGGTCAACCAGGCAGATACAAACTTGATGATTATTATTAAAGATTCTATAAGTAAAACCAAATTATAATAGAGTGATCATAAAAGTTACATCTCCTTTCATTATTTCCAAGTTTAACATAAGGATCAGGACCCAGCTTTATATAGCTCCTTCATTTGTCAACAAATAACTTATCCACTCGGATATGATTTTGGTTGAAATTTGATCTCAAGCAAATGATAAGCATAAGGAGTAATGACCATCCAATTTACAGTACATATCATATCCAGATGAGTAAGAGTAGTAATCCAACAACTGCAAAGTAGCATGGTGACATCACACAGGCAGAGCACTTACCGGGCGTCCAAATTTGGATAACTCAGAAACTTTAGCTCTCTGTTGACCAGGGAAACCTAAACATAAAAGTAATAGCAGTGAAATTAGAAATGATTATTACCAAAAGCAAAAGATCAAGAAAAATTTATTACTTTCTATGGGAATAAAGAACCTCAAAACATTAACGGTAAATAATTATGGTCAGAAAGACTTAGTATCAGGATATCTCCGGTCCAGTATCTTTAGTAAGAGATCTAAAGCCAAGGGCCGTATAAATTAATATATTGACTTAATCCACTTAGGATCAATGCAATTGACTGGGGTGTCTGTATGTATCTGCAAGGATTAAAATAGCTAAACATCTCTAAATTCATTTTAACCCGATGAATCAACCAAAAGAGAAGTACTGGAGTGCAATTAATTAATGTGAATCTTTTGATAACAGTGCAATTATCTCATATGAACTTCTAATCATTTCAGGAAAAGAATTTCTAGTAACAAACCCTGACACTGCACAAGCTCTATGAACTTTATAGTAAAGTACCTGAAAAAATAACAAGACCATCGGAAGAAACCCTTGCCAATTCTGGAAGAGTCCTGTTCAGGTACTTTGGGGAGAGGTAATCTAATGCATCTGACACTATCACAAGAGAAAAAGACTTTGCTTTATAGGGTAGAGGGAACTTTATATCAGCCACACGCACAATGCCTTTGCGCACAAGATTCCTGCAATTCCTATCAGCATCCTCTATCTCATATGGTTCCACACCCCATGCTTCAATTTCGTCATCTTTTAACAGTGCAGACACAACTGAACAAGTATCAGGGCCAATATGCAAAACTTTGTGCATACTGCCACTATACGCTTTCTTTAGGAAAGGTATTGCTCTCTGAACTTCTAGCGTGCATGAGAAATCGCCTAATTATAGAAGGAAATGGGCAAACGCTATTATTACAAGTATCTGAAGAATACTAATTGCTAACACTTGAACATGAACCTGACAAGACAAGCAGAAAAAGGGCCCAAACTCACCTTCAACTCTACTAACTACGTTGGCACCCCCTCCGAAGCCACCTGAATTTTTAAGAACAAACATTAATAGGCGCATACATGTGTAAGAATTCAAAGAATCAATGACCTAAGCATTGCCCAGCTAGCTCACCAAAATTTAAAAAACTCCATATGTAAATGTAAATAGGGGCTGTTAATGCAAGCAATTAAAATACGAACCTAAGCCCTTATAAACATAGCCGACAATTAGGATCGCTCCCTGAGAATTTCAACCAAAAACCAACAAAACATAATTAGAAACTCATAATCCGTTCTATTGTTTAAAATGATAAAGGAGCTACGCACTCAGCAGCACAAACTGAATTGCAATGAATTGGCATACAAAGGAAATGAAATTTGAATCCAAGAAAACTCACCACAACTACAAGGCCAATGGATAGCAAAGGGGACGACTTGGATTTTGAATTGAAGGCTCCAGCAAACGGAAAGTTTCCATTGCGGCGTGTGGATCCCACCGCCCTCCTTGACATGGCTGCTCTTTCTTCACAGGCAACGAATCCGAAAATACTGTACACTGCTTTCAGAAAACACAATTTACAGATACGAATGAAAATTGGCCACAAACATATACAAAATGAAGCTAGATCCATATACTGTTATGAATGCGGAACCAATTCGTTTGGTTCTCATTTTTCCCGCGAAACAAACAGAGTGCCAATAACAGAGCAATGTAAGAAACGAGCGAGAAATTCAATTGAAATCGGGAGTTACCGTAGATCACCACAAAAGAGAGCACCACATTGAGGATTTGCTCAATGGCAATGCTTTTGGATCTTAGATCTGCAAATTTTTTTTTTGAATTTTGAATTTTTTTTTTTATCTTGGGTTTGCTTTTAGCTGAGAGAGAAAGAGAGAGAGTTGAAAACAGAGCGAAATCTAAAAGAGACCAACGGAGATATGAGATATGTCATATAGGCGAATGCGTGCGAGTGTACGCTGTGCATGTATACGAATGGCTGTCGCACGCGGCATTGGGATCTTGTGTCGGCGGGATCTTGTGCTTGCAAATGGTAAGGGGTATTTTGGACTTTTAGGCTCTTCATATCAGGCCTCGTTTTCCTTTTGCCAAACTCACAATGGATTGGTCTGGGCGGTCTGGGCCCAGTTGCTTGGATGGAGCCCAGAATAATATCACCCTCATCATTTGGAGAAATACTTCCTTATCCCCGGAAAGAGAGGGGCAATGAAACAGGAATAGGGAAGTTTTTGTCTATCATTTAAATTATAAAAATGAAATAAAATTTCTCTTAGTCAAAACAAGAAATAGGCTTTGCAAAGAGGAAGGGGAATTAAATTTCGAACTTCCTTTAACATTGAGAAGAAAAATACCACTAAGTTAAAAATAATAATGATCATCCTTATTTGAGCTACTCTAAAGATTCAAATGAGTGCTAGAAAAATTCTAAAAGGCGGATAAACACTACCAAAAGACAACTTCTAATCGCACCAAGAATTGGATTTAAAGAATAACACTAGAGACGCTAACTTATTAGGCCATCTTTCAAGATACAAATAGCTTTGAGAAACAAACCATTGTGACAGTGTTTCATTTGTTTTATACAATACCATCCCAGAGTCGGCACGTTTTGTTTTTTGGTTTTTCTAATTAAGAAGTGGGTACAAGAGTTTTTGCTACAAAAATCATCCACCTAAGTACTGCGGCCTAATCTTTTCCAAAAAGAGAAAACAGCCAACTCAAGGTGCTTGAATACCTTCAGAGTACTGTCTGAACATTTTGCCAGGCCAACACTACTTTCGAAGAGCTCCTGTATAATTGTTGATGACCCATGTAAATGGGAATTCCAACTATATATCCTATGACGCTGCTCGATGACAGCATACATGAACAAATGTATATTCACATTTATCATTGTTCAACTGCTACCCCAGCCTCCTCGGACATTTATCATTGTTCAACTGCTACGCCAGCCTCCTCTGTCCGAGGAGGCCTCCATTTTCGATCAAATGGATCCCTTTCCACAACGTTTGCCTTTGGGGCATCCTTCAGCTTCTCATCAATGAGTTCCAACAACTCTTGCAACCCAACTCCCATTAAAGCAGATGTTCTAACATGTGGACCAGACTGAACTTGTAACTGCAATTGCTTTTCTGTTGTCCAGTCCTTTGGACGCTCACTTTGTTGGTCGTCTGTAGTCTTCAAGCCCGTACAGGACCCACCTTCACCCCAAGGATCTTCGACATCTTCTGATGCCAACCAACCGTCAGAGTAATCACCATCTTGGTCATCAATAGCTTCAAAAGCCTCATCATTTTCGGCTCCTGATGAGAGCTCAGAATCCATATCATCTTTTTCTCCTGAGAAACTGCTAGCCTCACCATCTTCAATGTCATCAACACACTCATCAAAATGCATGCCCTCCTCCTGATAGTCAATCTGTGGAATTCCAAAGGATATAGATAACTGCATCAGCGTTCTTTTTAATCTTCTTTCTATTTAAGGTAGTGTACAAGTGCAGAGACTAGCAATACCTTATTCCAAACTTCAATCATGTTTTCAAGTTTTTCCTTTGATACACCAATTTGATCAAGAACTTGGAATACAGTCGAACGGTGCTCATTTAGATTGGGAGCAGTACAATCCAACACATGCTGCAAGGTACAGAAACATCTATTAGATGTGTCATATTGGGAGCCACTTTGAGTGTTAGTTCAAATCCCACACCAGCAATATTAATCTCTCTGCTACTGTGTTTTATATATTCTATGTCATATCATATCAGATGATGTGGGATACCAAACAGAAGCCCAGAGATATATCAATAGTAGGAACTTAATTTTATCGCATTGTATTTTGTATCAACAAATCTAGTTCAAATGTACATGTGGAAAAACCTGAAATAGTCCCTGGTTCCCAAATGAAAGCACAAGAAATTAGTCATACCACAAGGAGATCAGCTTCCACAACTTCTTCTAGAGTTGCATGAAATGCTTCCACTAACTACAAAAGTAGATTGTATAAGTGATGAATGGGATTAGTGGTAAGACAGAAAATGAAAGAAAGTAGTTTAAACATGCTTTCCATATACCTGCACTGGCAAATCTGATATAAATCCTACTGTGTCACTTACAAGCACTTTCTTCCTGAACATTAAATACTCACAATTAGCGTAAAACAGGATCCAGAAACTCATCCAAGCAACAACTTATCATCAAAATTCCAAAATACAATTAATGGGAAAAAAAAAAAAGTTATCATTTATGGTCATATACCCTGAAGGAAGAAAAACACTTCTCAATTTAGGATCAACCGTAGCAAACAATCTGCAAAAATAGTACATCATCAATATGTTAAAAGCCAAGATCAAGGCTTAAATAACATATGGTTTATAGATCAAAATAACATGTTGTATGAGTGGAATATATTACCGAGAATCACTGTAAAGATCGCTATTTGAGAGGGCACTAACTAATGTAGATTTCCCCTATCACAAGAAGTAAGGAATTAAATGTTTGGACAATTTTGTGTAAAAATAACAAAAAGAAAATATAATAAATTAGACCACGTACAGCATTTGTATACCCAACAACAGCAACAGTAGGTAAACCTTGACCATAAGAGCCTCCACGATTCTTCCGACCAGCACGTTGCACAGCTCGAGTTCGTCGAACCTCTTGAATTTGCAGTAACAGACTACTCCTCCGTTCTGAAATTCTGAGATTATAGTGCTATTAAGTGGATGCACATATGCAAGAATAGATATACCATAAACCACAGACAGTTAACCAAGTATTTTATGTCATCAATTATATTGTAACAATAGACTCCTAGCTCAATATGACTCCAGTTAATGCTTGTATTTGCTCAACCTTGAACTTTAACCTAGAAAAAAAAAAGTAATAGAATGAAACAAGTAAAAAGGAAAAAAGTAAGAAAGAAACTCTTCTTAGTAGTTAGTCCAGTGGTTGATAAGAAAAACACCATTTAGAAATGAAATGTCTGAAATATCAATTGACACAAATCTTTAGTAGGAGAAACTTGTCATCTGCAGTTACGAAAAACTAGTACGTTTGTTTCATAAGGACAAAGAAACAGCCACTTGCAGTCAAGGGCCCGTTAAAACTAGAGCACGAGATATAAATATTAACATAAGATATGAGAATCATGGAAATGAACCTTCGTCGTTGAAGCTGAAGTTCAGTTTCTCCTGCACCACTAATGAAGCCACGTCCCCCACTTCCTCTCCTGCAATTAACTCCCCCATTTAGACAAAATCTTCTCTAAGTACGCATGACCAAAATAACTTAGTAAAATCTCTGCTGCATTTAAGTTTTCAGAATTTGACAATACATTACCCTCGGGCACTAACAACTTCAGCTTCTCCATCCGTTCCAAAAGTTGAGCGTCCACTTTTGCCACGCAGTCGTACAAGTCTTGTTTTCTTATACATTAGAGCTGCTAATTCAGCCTGTAAAAATCAAAAAGGGGCCATAAATGATCCTTCAAAGCTCTTCACTAAAATACAAACTCCTTAACCAAAGATAGCACTAAAACCTGCAGCTTGCCCTCCTTTGTGCAGGCATGAGCATTGAATATCTCTATTATAAGACCCACACGGTCCAAGACTGGTTTTCCCAAAATTTTCTGCCACACGAAACAGAAATATAAAAATCAATACCATTTTTTAGTTTTCTACATATAAACTTTAGTGTGGGACAGATGAGCTCTAATTTTAGGCTCTAGAAAAAAAAAAAAAAAAAAAAAACAAAAAAAATATGCATATGAATTACTTGCCTCCAAATTCCTCTGCTGGATCCCAGAAAGAATTGTATTCACAAATATAGCATCCACTTCACCCTGTTAAAATTTAGACAAATTTTGAAACACAAAACAGAAAAATAAACCCAAAAAAAAACAACAACAGCAAAAGAAAGCCTCTTTCCTTTTCTTCCAGTGCATTTAGATGGCATTTAACAACTTCCAAAGTCCCTTTGCCAAAATATGTATCTGCACAATGCAAAATTGTGATTATTTTCATACGCTGACCCAGTTTAAGTGAAAATCGCATAACTTAATTAAATGGGGTTAAAGTTTACTTCAAAAAATTGAAAATAATATTGGCAATTAAAGAAACGACCTGCTCGAGTTTGGTGTCTAACAATTGGGTTTTGAACAACAATGTGGGGAGGTATTTCCTTATCGAAAAAATCGACATCGAAGTACCCATCTCGTTGTTCTTCAAGAGAGTTGGCGAGGCAGAGAGCCTCGTTGAGCTTGGCCTGCAAGTAGTTATCGGGGCGAAGACGAGGCTGGACCACGAAGAGCTTGGGAGGGACTGTTGGGTCCCTGTTGAAAACCGAAGCAACGTCATTTTTGTCCTCCTTTTCTTGCTTCGATGACGTCGAGTAAAAAGAGTAGGAAATCAAAATCGAAGGGATTGAACGTGGAGATGGGGTTTGTTTTGGGTTTGAACACAGATGGGTGCGGGTTTGGGAGAAGGACCTCAGAGTACTCCGTGAGAGAGAAATGGTTCTCAGCATTTGAACAGTTCGTGTGAATTTTCCTTCTTCTTCGTTGTAAACTGGTGTGCTTGATTTGCAAAAGTGAGCTAGAGGAAGACGGTGAGTTGGGCCTATCAATGTAAGCTTTTCATTTGGGCCAAGAGAAACCAAATACCAAAGGAAGTTGGGCTTATCAATGTTATAGAATTTTTTTTTTTCTCTATGAACGTTGTTCTTTTCAAATGGTTTTTTATTTTATTTTGTCAACTTCTGTTAATATGATATGAGATTTCAATTTTCGCTCATATATTTTAATTTTTTTACAAAGAAACTAGAAGTTTATGTAATCAAATAATAAGGGTGTGCAAGATCCAATCCAATCCGTTCAAATCCACCAATAATCCAATTTTAATCTGGATATTGGATTGAATCCCTAATTTCCAAAACCGACATGATTGGATTGGATGATGGATTTTCTTGTGAGGATCCAATTCAATCTAGTTAGTTTGATGCTTATTTTGCTCATTAGGTAATTTTCATTAAGAAAATTATAAACATTTTAAGTAATTTGATGAGGTTATGTTTAATAGATTATAAAATAAAAATAATTTTCTCTAGCATTTCATTTATATTTTACATTTACGTCTCTTAAATTTTTTAATTATATTAAAATGGACGATAAATGTTTCATATTTCATTATTATTTGTTCCACTATGAAAACCAATCATCCAATTCAATATTAATTGGATCAGATTGAATTTATACTTCTAATGTGATCGAATTGGATAGGAAAAATCATAATCCAATCTATATTGGATCGAATGCGGATTGGTAAAATTGTATTGGTTTCGAACCGATGTACACCCCTATCAAATGAGTACAATGTAGATATTGGTTAAGTCAAATTGCTGGAACAGTGTATTCGTTTACACCCAACTTTCAAACCTTCTCTTTGTATTTACACCCAACTTAAAACCTCAATAATTCATAATATCGGCTTAAAAATTGATATAAACATAATTCAAATGAGCACTTATGCTCATATGAGTGTTCATTATAAGCACATCTAACTATCAAAAATTCAAGTGTTCAGTAAATTATACTTTGAAAGTGATTTCTATAAGTGTTGTCGATGCTAAAAGAACTAGAAGCTAGTATTATATTACTATAACATCCACGAGTCAATCCAAATAAATATTGTCTTCTCCCCATACCCATAGTCGGCGAAAGCCAACATATAAATACGATGTGCAATTCCTCCACCTTGCATATCTCTTGCCTTCGACTATTGGCTGCCATGCAATGGCATGCCAATTTACCTCAGTAACAGCACTGCCAGATGTCAAATTAATGTATATTAGTTGAAAAAGCAAAAAAAAATGTATACTTATAGTACGGAAAATCCTAACAAATATTTAGTACTCAAAAGAAAATTCCAATTAATTGTTGAAGATTTCGTGGGTGAATAGTTGCTATTTTTTGATCTCAACATGCATATCTTTCCAAAAACCGACACAAGAGCAGAGCAGATTCGATGGACTCAATCCAAAATGTCAGCCAAATAATTGTTTTACAAAGCACTCAAACTTTCTTTAATCCATCTATTTAAGATTATGAATTTCATCATCTTCTTTTGCCATTGTCATTGTTGCAAATCTTCTAAGCTTGCCTTGCAGTTTTGTATGCAATATGGAGTCGCTTATATCAACAATATTTGCTCTCTTCTTTTTATTGGGTGCATCAGATGCACTTTCAAGAACCATCATAGTCGATAAGAATGGTCAAGGAAAATTTACAACAGTGCAGCAAGCCATTGATTCCATACCAGAAAATAACTCATTGTGGACACGAATTCTTATTAAGCATGGTGTCTACACGTAAGTAATACTTTTTCAAATTAGGTTTTATTTTCCAAGTTGTGTTATGGATTCCAAGCCCTAATATGCTCTCTTTTACATCCATCTAGGGAAAAAGTTGTGATCCCTAAGGAGAAACCATATGTTATTCTTGAAGGAGAGGCTAACCAGCTTACCTCGATTGAATTTGGGGAAGGTGGCAATGTTGTTGAAAGCCCTACATTTAAACTATTTGCAGATAATTTTGTAGCTCGGAATATAATATTCAAGGTTAAGCGTCTCTCCTAAACCTTGTCCTTTTCCGTATTTCTCTAATACAGAAATGCCCATTTTCGTATTAATAAATTAATATGACATTAATCACTTGTTTTGAATCATTATATAATGTGATCTCATTTTCTATTCGTTCATATATTCGTGTATACATAATATGTTTTGAAATCACTCTCATGATATTTATCCTTGAATTCATAATTTGGGTTTCTTACAGAATACATACAACAATGATCTTATCAAACTTGATGACAATGGGAAGAAAACTACTTGGGCTCCTGCGGCTTTCATTGGTGGAGACAAAGCAAGTTTTCATAACTGTGGTTTCATTGGCGTGCAAGATACATTGAGTGATGCCATAGGCCGGCACTATTTCTATAATTGCACTGTTGTTGGAGCTATAGACTTTATTTTCAGCAATGGACAGTCAATTTATGAGGTTAAAAAATATTTACCTTTTTCTCCTATTCCTTTAGACAACCCTAATTTAGATAAAATTTAGTTCAAAATTTTCTTCTATGAAAAACTAACACATAATCAACTGCATGCATTTACATTGGATCAAATTGTGTGCAGAAATGCCTGATAAAATCAATTTCAGACAGAAGAGGCCTACCTGGTTATATTACAGCCCAAGGTCGTAATGACCCAAAAGACACTTCTGGTTTTGTATTCAAAGATTGCCATGTATCAGGCACAGGCCATACTTTGTTAGGAAGACCATACAGACCTTATGCAAGAGTATTGTTTGTCTCCACATTTATGGAAAATGTTATTTCCCCAGAGGGCTGGACCTCAGCATGGCATGCTGGTTCTGAGTAAGTTTTTTTTCTTCTTTTTTTTTCCTATGTGATATTTTGTTCATGAGAAAGAGAATATTAAAATTATATGCAAGACTAAAACTTTAATTCTTGCTTCTTCTTTATTTCACATTTTAACAGGAACAAAATCACATTCTCGGAGGTGAATTGCACAGGGCCTGGGGCAGATGTTTCCCGTCGTGTCTCATGGACGAAGAAGTTAACAGATGAACAAGTAGCATTTTTAACAAATACAGCTTCTTTCCTAGACCAAGATGGATGGTTGGCAAAACAACCGATTTAAGCCCTTATAATTAATCCCTTATTTAGGAAACTAATTTCATCCAAAGGGTCTTCATTAATTTGTTTCGGTCTGATATATATAAATGTATTAGGTGCAATATGAATGGAATAAAGTTGGTGTATGGTATGTTAAGTCAACATATTTCCTTTTTACATGTATATTGTTGTGACCGAATTCACAAATGATATCCATGTAATTTAGTCATCAGGTTTTCACACTCTTCTAATTTTGATAAATATTCCTTGTGGTTGTCTCAAAATGTGCACTTTAAACTTTTGTGCAAAACCCATCCGGAAAAATATAGAGAAGAGCAAGTGTGAACAACATGTCACACGTTAATGAACTAATCAAGCAAATCTTTCCAAAACCAGACGCAGAGTAATGTGCTCGATTCAATTTGCCAAAACAAAATTGTTTTCCCCAGCTCTCAAACTCTTTAGTCTCTGTCTATATAAGATGAACAAATTGTGTTCTAATTAACTATGCCAAGAAAATAGTGCTTTGGATGCACAGCAATATGTCAACAAGACTTGCTCTTCTCCTAGTTTTCTTGAGTGCTGTGAATGCACAACCCGACGTTTCAAGAACCATCCTAGTTGATAAGAGAGGTGGAGGGAATTTTACAACACTGAAACAAGCCATCGACTCTATCCCGTCAAACAACTTGTTGTGGACCCGCATCTTCCTTAACCACGGTGTTTATGTGTAAGAACTAAGTTCCATATTATTTTTTCTTGCTTTGTTTGACTTGTTAGCCTTTTCAATGAATCTTCCCTTTAGTTTAGACCCAAAATAAATAAATAAACAGTTGCATATTTTTTCTTTGTACGATAAATTTGAAACCTAACCATGCGATATTTTTCATATGCAGTGAAAAAATTGTGATCCCTAAAGACAAACCCTACATAATTCTTCAAGGAGACCTTAAATATCCTAGCGTGGTTGAATATGGAGATGGTGGCAACGTTGTGGAAAGTCCTACATTCAAATTGGAAGCAGATAATTTTGTGGCTCGGAATATAGTTTTCAAGGTTAGCCTAAATATAATTATTTCTACCATACGCTTATAATATTTATAACTTTATTAATATAATCTTTTGTACTGAAAAAAAAATTGAGCAATGGTCACCTTTTTATAAATAGTCGCGTTTTTCCGTGTCTAATAGCATGTCCACTCCAAAAGGCTAAGGCAAAGGCAAGGCAAAGACTGCTACTATTCATGTGAATAGTGGCAGCCTTGCCTTTTTGGGTTCCACTCCAAAAGGCTAGGGCAAGGGCAAGAGAAAAAAAAAGAATATGCAACAAAATATAAACAATTTAGAAATGCAATAAAATGATTATGCAAGAAAAAAAAATATATGGAAGAAAATATAAACAATTTACAAATGCAAGAAAAAAAATTATTACAATTTACAAATATTGGAAGGAGACGAGTTTGTATGAGGATTTGGAGTGGAAAGTGAATAAAATTGTTATGTATTTATAGGGAAAACATCCATAATTTTTTGGTATTTTTTTATAATAATAAAAAATTGTATTTTTTTCTTTTTTTTTGCTCACTAACGTCAGCGTGACGTCACCGCTGATGTCAGTGTCTTCGGGCTGAAGCCTAGACAAGATCTGCCCTTGGACTTGCCCGGGCTGCTTCTCCTGCGCTGGAGGTCCAAACCCCACTTGGGGGACCTTTTGCCCTGGCAAAATGGGCTGCGGTGGAGGTGGCCTAAGGGTAGTAGAGTTGGTGACCTTATTTTATTAAGGAATTTATCATATTTGATATGGCTGACTGACACAACTAATTTATAATATATTATGGTTTTCACTTAAATCATTATTTATCATTTATATTTTCAGTATTGAGATAATATAGACAAAGAAAGAGATTTTTATTAAACGAAAGTAATCTTGATATGAGTCTTCATTAGCTGAAATCACAAACATAGCAAAGAAAAAGAAACCAAAGTCAAGACCCATATATATCAGATATATCTTCAACCCATATTGGGCATAAACCAAAGTCTAAAAAATTCCAGACATAATACATAAAATAAAAGCATAAACTTAATAATTTACACTAGTACCAGAAAATTAAGAAATTAATTTTTTTTACAACAAGGGATAAAAGGGGGAGGTGGTTCAGAGGTTCAGAGTGAAGGCCTTGACGTCGGCGTCTGTTGGGCTTCACCGTGGTTGTCACAGAGATAAAACCAAGTTCTGAAAAGAAGAGTCCCACAAAAAATTTCAAATTGAGAAACTACACAATCATCTCAGAAATCATTCCAGAAATTAAACCCACATGAAAACTTGAAAAAACAAAACCTTGGGAGGATTTGGGTAATTAGGCAGAGATGAGACGATAGAGGAAGGAAGAGAACTGAAATGATGAATGAGTACATTGAAAGAAGAGCTCATTTTATATAAAATAGAAAATTTCCAATATCATATCAGCTTTTCAATATTTTTTAAAAGAAAAGTGCTGCAAATTATATGTTTGAGTTTATCCTTAAACTGGTAAATAATTTTGGTTCTAATGATGACAGAATACATATAACCGTCCCAATAATGGAAAGAAAATTATTCAGGCACCTGCGGCTTCGCTTACGGGCGACAAAGCAAGCTTTTATCATTGTACGTTCATTAGTGTGCAAGACACATTGCATGATGGTCTTGGTCGTCACTATTTCAATGACTGCTTTGTCGAAGGTGCCATAGACTTTATTTGGGGCAACGGCCAGTCTATTTACGAGGTTAAAAATTCCTACCCTTTTTCATAATTAATCCGTTAGTTTTTCATACCACTTACGAACATTTTCTAAACCTACTTGTATTTACATTCTGTTCTGTTTGCAGAAATGCAAGATAATATCTGTAACAGACAGAATAGGCCTAGCTGGTTTTATCACAGCGCAGGGTCGAAATGCCGCAAATGAACCTACTGGTTATGTATTCAATGATTGCCATGTAAATAGAACAGGCCCTATATTTTTAGGAAGACCATACAGAAATTACTCAAGAGCGGTGTTTGCCTCCACGTACATGGGAAATATAATTACCCCGGAGGGTTGGTCCGAGTGGCTAACTGGTCCTCTGTAAGTTTGTGTTTTTCTTTTTCTTTTTTTTTAATGTTTGTAGAGGATATCAAAACTATGAAAGAGATTACAATTTATTTAATTCCTTCTTTTAAACACTATTTTACAGGAATTTAACCACATTCTTGGAAGTGAATTTCAAAGGACCTGGAGCAGACATGTCGCGTCGTGTGTCATGGGAGAAGAAATTATCGAATGAGGAAGTTGCATACTTAACAAACACAACGTCTTTCATAGACAAAGAGGGATGGTTGGAAAAGCAACCAAAATAAGGCCTTTGTATAACCCCTTGAGCAAGCTAAAACAATATAGGCCACTTATCTAATAATGATCAATCCTTTTATTGGGTGTAAAATTTCTTGTCAATGGAATAATATACACATATATTCACAAGTTATGTGGTCTTAGTTTGAATGCATATATATATATATATATATATATATATATATTTCACAGCTTTTCCTCTCCTAGACATTTTCTTTCAAGTCCCTCTCTCTCATCGCCATTTATACATCTGTCCATCTGCATCCACACCATCCTCACCTTCTCTGTGATCTCAGGTGCAATCTGTCTGCTATAAAGTTTGCTTAAAACGAGCAATCGAAGCCCCATTACATCTGCTTCCATCATGTCCAAGCAGTATGAACGAAAGGTTATGCCTTTGAAAACAGCCAAATCTTCCATGCATTCGCATTTAGCCACAATTTATTTACCATTTCTATCTTCTCATCTGTCAACAAAACCGTTCTTTAACTCCTTCTTCAAGGTACCATATTGTGGGCCAGGTAGAAGACTTGTGCCAATTAACCATTTCTTTCTTTAATCACTAACATCAATAAATTTGCTAATATATATTGATTGAAAGGAAAGTTCAAAGAAGGAGTCCAATTCTCCTCTTACCAAATGGCATGTGCCCAGCCTGTTTCCCTCCTAGCTTTATGACATGTGGCAGACAACTTACAGCACTTCTAACCCTGTTAACTCTGTTAAGTCCATTTGTTTTTATTAATAACAAAAAATATGAATTAAAATATGCGTTTTATCTACCATTTTTACTGTCTCCTCCACACAAACTCTTCCATTTTATCCTCATTGGACTGCAAACTCACCTCCATCTACACATCCATAAGCTTCTTCATGGGGTCCTCTCCATAAGCTACTTCCTCTCTGCCTAAAAACGCAATGTCAAGGATGCAACTAATGGCCGCCACTCTGGTTGGCAAGTCTTCAGAGCCCAAGAGGCTTATATTTCTTGGGATTTCTCCCTTGATGTCCTCAACTAAAGGGGTTCTGATAATTTTGACTAGTCCAGTAAGGACTTGAATCGAACCAGATGAACCCATTTGAATTAAAGCTCTAACAATCGGACCCATCAGCACCAATCCCACAAAAACGTCCTTATTGAATTTAACTATACCAAGAACAACAAGAGCAGCTTGGTCTCGGACCCAATTTGAACACATTGAGTCAAACTGTAAATTCAAGCAAAGAAAATACCCCCTTTGTTTGAACTAATGGAATTCCCCCTTTGTTTCACATGTCTTTTTTGGGTAGTATTTTGCTTTATATATAGACAAGTATGGATAATACATGTTGGCTGAAAAATTGTGATTTATAAAAGTGTTGGATATATATTTCAATTAGGAAGGCTTTACATTTATTTGGGATTGTGGATGAATTTTGGTTTAATGGTAGGAAACCAATTAAGGCAATTGATGTATCACTACTCCAAAAAAAAGTGGCAACAGTCGCTATTATTTGGTGACATTTGGTGACTAAAGCCTTTAGTATATGGTATGTTACTATTTTGCCAAGAAGCCATTTTCTTTTTCAAAAGAAAATTCTTAGTATATGGTATGTTTTTATGGTGAATGTATGTTATGTAAGTCTTATGTTATTTTATTTGGGACATTTAATTAAAAAAATTATTAAAATTATATTAATTTAATTATAGCAAAATAAACAAAAAAAAGCATTCTCTGCGACGAAATTACTCGATATTGGAGACCAAATAATTCAATATTTTAGACAAAAATTTGGAAGTAGACAAATCTTCCACGACCACATTTTTATTTTGTCAAGGTCTGCTCATACCTTCAGCGACCAAAGTAGAGACCAAAACTCTAGGACACCAAAGGTTAACTACGACCAAATTGTTTGGTCGCTCGTCCCTTATAATTTTGCGCCAATGATTCAAGGGCTCAACGACAAAATTGGGAGAAATCAGCAACGAGATTTATTGGTCGCTTATGAATATGAACAACAAAAGTTGTTTTTGGTCGCCGTTTCGAGTATCAACGACGAGCCTTGAGCGACGACATTATTGTGACCAAAATTTGGTTTCCTGTCGTAATGAGCGACCAAAAACGTGCAATAGGCGACAAAATATTTTTGGTCGCCAAAAGGGTTTTTTCTTGTATGTGATATGCAACATCCAAAATCTCTACACTTTTCTTACAAAACTGACCCATAGGTGCTATATTGGATTTGAATCAGATTTCGGATCAATCTATATTGATTGACTGCCTCCATTATGTTGTTGCTAGCAAATACAAGACCAAAATGTCAGTTTCAGATCAATCTATATTTTTTTCCATTATTTCGGATCAATCTATATTGGTAACAACTAAATATATGACGAGTCTATTGTTTATAACAACATCAGTTTTGAGCAAACAACTAAAGTTTAAAAAAAATAATGATAACAACAGTACTCCAATGAAAACATATGCTCATAAACATAAGTGATTTTGTAATCAATAGGCTTATTTGATGTAGCGTCAACTCCATCCAAAACTATGTTAAAATTGATGACATGGCAAGGATATTTGAGTCATTTTGTACACATGGGTTATTTACCCACCAATTCAGGTAATGTGACAAAGTGGAGCCCACTTCCAGTATGGAAAAAATTAATAAATAATTTTACCATTAATAATTTAACAAATTAAAATTTTCTCTCAAAAAATAATTTACCTAAGTTGTTGGAGGCTTAGGCATTGAGGATCAACGCTAAAGGTGTCAAACGGACTGGGCACGGCCTGCTTAAATAAGGCCAGGCACGGCACGACCTGTATCATTGGGCCGTGTCGGGACAAGGTTTTTTTTTGTAATTTTTGGCTATGAGAAGGGAAGGGATTGCTATGAGTGGGGGGTGGGTCATGGGTGGCTAATGATAGGTTTGTGGTTTTTCTCTATTGTTTTTTTATAATTAAAAAAATTATTTAGACTTTCAAAAACAAAATAACAATTAGAGTTAACAGTGTTAGGGTTAAAGTTAATTACATAGATAGGTGTCAAAACTTAAAAATTGAAGTGTCGTATCTTGGACCATTAGATTATTAGAATGGTCTAGATGTCACGAAATATGGGTAAATGCACAACGTCTAAATATAAAGGGCTCAGGATCCGTTGTTTTAATATTATCATTTTTGTTTATAATTTAAAAAAAAATTTAATAAGTTGGTCTCCAAACTAAGTATTCTAAATCTTTAAATCACGCATATGAAAATCCTTAAATGGAAAGAGAAAGTAGGTTTAGATAATTTTTTTTCCCAAAAACCCTAGGCCCCTCTCTCCTAAAAAACACTCTAGAGCTGTTTTCACTTTAAGGGGGAGGAAGTAAATGTTCTTCCTTCTCTCTCCCATTCTCTCTTCCTCCCTTCTCATCTCTTCCCCCATTTCCAAAGACAGAAGGTTTCCCTATTTGTCTTTATTTTGTTATGATTTCCCTCCACTCATCACAGGCAGATGTGTCTCGATGTCGAATCTCCACCTGCGTTTTAGTGTTGGATCTCTACCACCATCATTTTTACTATTTCTTCATGTTTGGAATAAGTCGAATAAACTCTTTGGGTTTTTTGTGTAGTTTTCACCTCTCATTTTGTGAGAGTTTTTCACCTCTCCTTTTGTGAGAGTTTTTCACCTCTCCTTTTGTGAGAGTTTTTCACCTCTCCTTTGTGAGAGTTTTATTTGTATTGTTCTAGTTTGGTTTTTTCAAGCTTTATCTCTTTTCGGTTGTTCTGAGTTTGCACTCTTAGTTAGGATGTATATGCCAATGTTTCTTCGATCGTGCGTGAACATTATGGAGGAGCCCTAGATTGTCTTAATTTTGATGTTAGATCGCTCCATTATTGTAATGGCTCTTTGCAGCTAGTTTTTATTGGCTCTTTGTGGCTATTGGCTTTTTTAACTTAATTGAATGCAATCCCAAATTTCTCAACAAAATCTCCCCACCAAAAAAAAAAAAAAAAAAAAAAAAAAAAAATTTAGGGTCCATTTGGATGAGAGATTTAGGCATGGGATTTGGGCTTCATGGGATTTATAAATCCCAATGGGCCAAATGCCTTGTTTGGCAAGCCCAAAAGGAGGAACTTCATAAATGACTTGGGTTCAACATAAAGCCAAGTCAAGCAGAGTCTAGTTTTTTTTTAACAAATATTAAAACCTCAACAAATTTACAAAAAGCCTTTATCAAGCATAACAGACACCATAGTGCAGCTCCAGCTCAATGACCATCAATCCAGCCACTTTTGTCCTCTTCAGACTAGAGAGGCCTTAATTCTGCTCATTCAGCAAGCCTTCCATGGCTCGAAATAAATTGAAGCTCTGCCAAACTCAAATGTTGGTATTGATTTCCAGTTGAAACTCATCAGTTGAAGGTGTTAACGATTCAATCCAGCATAGACACATCCAATCCAGCCCAGTTCAGATGCAGCTACCCAGACAGAAATCGAAGTCCAACGTTTTGTTGTCTTTTTCGAAGTTGTCATTTCTCTTTTGAGTCCTATAATAGGCAGTTCTGCCTAAAACAGTTTGTTTTCTTTTTATCTATTTTGGCCAAAACTACCAGTTTTGTATTATAAGAAATTGTGACGTCTTCACCAATCTGAGGAAAGAAAATAACTTACTTGGGAGACATTCCTCACCAAAATTCACAATTGCTTGTTTAGAATCAGTAACTTGGGGTGCAAGTTATCTATTTTTTTAGAAGTCTGCTAGGGTTTTAAATTGCTAGCAGTGGCACGCTCACGCACAAAAGAAAGTTGACTTATTGACCACAAATGGTTGTCAAGACAATGGGGAACTTTACCCTACCATCACATAATTAAAATAAAAACGGGTGAACACTAGGTCGTTAGGTTAATCAAATTTGACTTAAGGATACCAAAATATTTTGCATATTCTGTTGTTTCTATGATGGTCATATCATGAATTAAGGACACTCTTTGGCCTTTTGAAGCCATGTTTGGGTTTATTAACTATAATAATAATAATAATTTTCATCTGGTCATGTTTGGCATGCCTTACTATGCCTCATTGGACTAGATTGGGTTAAATAGTCCTTGAAATTCATGTTTGGTAAGGGAGGAGATTAAGTTAAATGGGATTATATAGTCCAATGGGGGAAAAAACATCAAACTCGCTTGTCTAATATAGCAAGCTTGAAATGTGGTTTGCAAAATAACAAGAGTGTTATTTTGAACACGCGAATCTGGCAGGATACCACCACCACCATCAAACACGCGAGCCCGAAACATCAAACATACCACCACCACCAAGATGCCATGACCGTCAGACCATTACCATCAAACCCATAACTAGCCACCACAAACCCAATCGAACCATCATCATCACCCAATCAGTCAATCGAACCATCATTAAAAATAAATAAATTAAATTAAATTATAAAATAAAATAAAAAACTGGGAAGGAAGAAGGAAAGAGGAAGGAAAAAAAGGGGGGGCAGGGAACAAAAGGAAGAAGAAAACACGAATGAGAGAAGAGGAAGGAAGAAAAAAAAAGATAAGTTAGTTTTAGTCTTTAAAAAATATTAGAATTTAATTTATTTTTATGTCAAAATCCTTAATTAAAATTAACTATTAAAATAATTATTTTTTAGTTTGACACAACACCAAACATAGTTCTTCGCTATTTTTACAATCCAACTTCTTAGTCCGATGCAACACCAAACGTATGTCAATACTTAATTCAGTTTAGTCCAATCCAAGCTAATCCAAGACAGTCCCAAAATTTAGTCTAGTCCATGACAATCCGTTGTATCAAATGACCCCTTATTGTGATTGTCATCGCCATCTTCCAATCATAGGCATCAACACCTAAATTTGTTTTCTATACAGCCGATCAATATTTTTATAGTAAATTTGGCTTACACCCTTCAAATTCAATTTTCCATACCTAAAACCCTTCACTTTTTGTTCCTATAAATAATACCCAATTTGTATAAGTAAAAACCCATGACTATGATCTAACTCAGCAAGTTACCTAATTAAGCATAAAATCTTATTTATTGTACTTTTCAGATTCCAAAAATACCCCCAACTAAGCCATTATTGCATTTTGTATATTAATGTAGGAATCAATATGGAAACAGTTTTTAATTGGATTGTATATAATGACAGATGTTGAATTTGGAAAGATCTCCAAATGGTTGTAATGGATGTAGGAATTAATTTTGGAACATTTTAAAAAAAATTTAACAATAAATTCAAATTTGGGTAATTGGTTTGTTTAATAAAATGTTTATGTTATTTTCTTTTTATGAATTATACATGACTAATAATCCACTTTAAAATTGTTTATGAATAAAACTGTACATACTAATTATGTTGAAAAAATAATGTACCTATTTGTTTTATGAAAAATATAATTTACCTAGTATGAAAAGTGTACATAATTATCTATTCCAATATACCTACATTAATTTTAATGTACTTACAATTAGGATTTAGGTATTATATGTCATCCAATGTACCTACCATTTGAATAATATACCTACTACGAATAAAGTACCTATTATTTATCTAAATAATGTACCTATTTTTTTCTATAAATAATATAGCCTTTTTTCTCTGAATAAAGTACCTATTATTTGTTTTATTAAACATAATTTTTTTAAATGAACCTATTTTCTCTCTCCAAATAACTTACCAATTTTTTTCCTCTAATAATGTACCTATCTTTCCTCTCCAAATAATGTACCTATATTTTATATAAATTATTGTGTACCTATTTTTAATTATGAAAAATATACGCAATTACAAAGTAACTGACTTTTATTTTTTTTTTGGGTAAATAATATACCTATATTTTATATGTATATATTTATATTATATTTTTCATAGGTACATTATTGGATATGTAATTTACAGATTTTTTTTTTGTTTGCAATTTTAGGGGGCGAGATATGAGAGGGAATGACAACTAAAAGAAATGGGGTGATTGATATGCTATTAATAGGGAGTATATTAATTACAATTATGGCAGTTAATGAAATGCTTGAAATAAATTATAAATAAAATATGAAGTTTAGTGGCAACGATGTAAAAACATAGAAATACTACGACCTCTTATATCCTACTGGTCATTTAAATTTGAAATTGGGTTTTACACATAGATTTATAGAGTGATAGGTGTATGTTTAGAAAATAGAAAATGTAGGGATCTATATTGGACAAGCCCATATTTTTATCGCATTATGCTGAAATTTTAAAATCATCGTATTCTCCTTCATCACAATGCCAGCTATCTGAAAACTAATTGATGAATTTAAGTGCTCAACCTAAGGTTGGTTTGTGTTTAGTTTGATGAGTCGTGTAACTGAAAAAGACAAATATATATATGAGTGTTGTTAAACGAACCCTAAAATTAATTGAGTGCACCATATGATCTAAGTGCACCCTAATATTTAAATCAACATATAAAATTAACTACCCTATTTAACTACCAAAAATACCCTTGATACACCCTAATATCACACAACACCAAACCCATTCATTAATTTAAATATTATATTGTTGATGACACCAATGAATACCAATGAACACTCGGCAGTGGTTGGTGAACAGTCGATAATTTTTTGGAATTTTACACTGCGAACTTATGAATGAACTATAAATGAACTATATATATATATATATATATAATAGAAAAGTGAAAAATACAAATTGCCCAATAGCTTAAAAGGTTCTCTGAGCAGTAGGGGCGAATACCATTGTGAGATTTTCTCCTTCTGATTGTAAGATTTGAAATTTTTGAGAGCTTATCTACTTGCATGATTTTCTTTTACTACTATGTGGGAATTGCCTACATTTGTTGATGAACTATGTATGTGCTGGCCATATATGACGATAGAAGAATCAGGATGCCTGTTGTATTGAGTTTTTGCTTCTTCTTTTTTTCATTATGAAATTGCCTGAAATAACTTTCATTTGGGATAGATTTCTGAATAAGGTGGGGTATACTTACGTATCAGTAATGAAGAAAGTAAGGAATCAGAGAATTTAGGAATCGGAAAACTACTGAATCGGTATGAGAAGAATCATTCTCATTAAGCTGTTTACTAAACATATGGAATTAGCAAAGGAATGGGATTGATTCCCATTGTTACTGTTTACTAATTTGCATGAATCAGAATCCAAATTAATTTTAGAATTATGGTAAAGTGGTAAGGGTATTTTTGGAAGTTATTAAGAGAAAACAGGAATGGGAATCGTATCGACTACTCCCCCTAGTTGATCTGATACCTAGCTTTGAGTGAATGTGATTACGGATTTTGAGGTGGGGCCCACTTATTTTTTCATTCCTGATTGCAAGTAAATGCAGGGGAAGTCAGGAATGGAAATCATTCCCTTTCCTCCCATACCCAAACATGCCAGTCACAATTCAATATATCGTTTTTGTCATTTTATAATAGGATAAATTAGTAATTCAATAAATAGTTTGATAGTAGGGTATACTCAGTTAATTTAGGGTCCATTTAGCAGTACTATATATATTACTCAATCTTCTCTTCCCATCATTATTAAAATTAAAAAAGAACCGGAAAATTCATGTTTACTCAAATGTATTCATTGGACAATGTCATTTAATTTCTTTTCTTTTCTTTTTGGTAGAAAAATTAATTTCTTTATAGACACCAAGATTAACTCTCTCTCTTTTGTCATTCACTAGGGAGGGGAGGGGGAATAATATATTGGGTTGTCTCAAGATTGTCTCATACGTGAATCGAACTCGAGTGCACTTTTAGGGGTGGGGGGTGAGAGGAGAGTTTGGCCCCCCAAAATTAACTCCAAACTTGTGTTTTGGGGAGAGAAAAAATCTCATGGTGACGTGGATGTTCAAGATTCTCTCTTAAATACGGGTAAATGCACATATGATATTTGAATGAGTGCATACATTGAATCATTTAAAATATGCATATGGAAGGCTTTCTTTCCAATCAAGGACAAACTTGGATGCATTTGGGAGAGTTTGGCCCACCAAGATTGACTCCAAACCTGTGTTTTGGGGAGAGAAAAAATCTCATGAGAACGTGGATGTCCAAGATTCTCTATTAAATGTGGGTAAATACAAAAACTCGAGATCCGTAACATATGAGGTTTGAATGAATACATACATTGAATCATTTAAAATATGCATATAGCCTTCTTTCCAAACAAGGAGAAACTTGGATACATTTTTAGTATAATACCCAAGAATTGAACCATAAAAATGAATTACATTTCTAGGTTTGAAATCTCACGTTCCAAAAGATTTCCCTTTTTTTTGGACACTCCTTATCCTACATTTCTATTAAAACCCCGCATTTCTCTTTTTTCATCGTAATATTTAAATTTTTAAGCTGTCAGTTTTATTATTGTGTAAAAGGACAAAAAAGGTCATTCAACTTAATATTAATCCTAGTACATCTATCTATACACACACCCCACCACTCTTTATATTAAGTTTTAGAAAAATACAAACTCATCTACATCTTATTGCTAATGGAGACTAGTCCCGTAAAAAAAGGTCTTAACTTGCATGTCAGTGGTCTGAGGTTTGAACCCTACCACACACATCTTTATTTGATTAGTTAACCTTTTTAATCACATGATAAAAATAGCCTTGTGAAAACAACAAAATCTCATGTATACTACAAATATTGTTTAATGATTTGAGTATTGGAATGAACAAAGAAAAGTGTGGGATTTAAATAGAAAAACTCTTTTATTTCTTATTTTTTTCATCTTGGGGTGTATTTAAGGGCAGTTTGGGAAGATAATTGGGTTTTCTTAGAAATTGTGAAACTTTAAATTAGAAGTTGGGTGAACTTAGAACATGGGTTGAACAAAGAGAAGTGTGGGGTTTAAATAAAAAATCTTATTTTATTCCTTCAGAATTCTTGATGAAAAAAAGCCCTTAGCAATATCAACCCATATAAAAAATAAAATAAAAACCAACCGCTATATATACCTTACCTAGCAACATCAATCTCTACCCTCAAATTAAAAAATTCAACCAAATCAATAACTCAGTCACGTACGATGCGTCTTCAATGGGTTATTGCAGTCCTTGTTCTGGTCGTTCCACTTGTGACTGCTGCTGCCCCAGATGTAGTTCTTGAGACTTGGGATCCCGTACAGAACACCAGCGAACCATATTGGATAAATACCGCAGAGTTCGCTGTCTCTTCGTATAACAAGCACGAGAAGAAGAATTTGGTGTTTGAAAGCGTGGTCAAGGGCAAGACACGCTACGAGGTAACAGGCCTCTATATTGTCCTTGTCATTAAGGTCAGAGATGGGTCATTGCCCAGCGCAAATTATGATGTTGCAGTACGTGATAAGTATGCTGGTCCTAATCCTTTGGATTTGATCTACTTCCGCAGAAGACCTAAATTTTGGTGATCTCAAATTTTATTTGGATAATGTTCAATGATATGTTGCTGTAATTGTGACATCTTCGTTTACAACTAAAGAATCAAAAGTTGATAAGTTGGTCTCCAAACTAAGTATTCTAAATCCTTTTTAATTGTATATGTTTGAATTTTTGTTCTTCTTTTTGTTGGGATTTTATTTTGTTTTTTGAGGGAGGAGAGGAAAGAGAGTCATTGACAATAATTTCGTGACTGCGAGATCTAGACAGAAGGAAGAAAGATGAAGAGAGGCTGCGAGCAGAATGAGAAGAAAGAGAAGAGGGAGGTGGGCGAGTAGACAGAAGAAAGAGAAGAATGAGGCAGAGGCAGAAAGAGGAAAGATGGGTTAGGGTTAAGGCAAAATCTGAAAATTGAAAATTGAAAATTGAAAGGGATAAGGAAAATGAAAAATGAAACTTAAAAATTGAAAACTAAAAATTAAAAACTGAAATGGTTATCAAACGGGCCCTTAGTTAAAAATATAAGTAAGTTCGTTTTAGTTTGGTTAAATTGCGAGCCTGAAAATCCTTAAATGTTTGGATTAAACCATTCCCTAAGGATCCTCAAACAGTAACAAATTAACCCTAAACCCCTAACAAATTAACAAAAATCGGAAGAACTTACCATTGACATATTTGGGGCTTCGTCGATTTGGGGCTGATTGAGAGAGAGAGAGAGATATATATATATATATATATATATACAGTCCCCTTCTATTGAGGGATCCCTCAAATAATTTTATTTGAGGGACGCCCTTTAGGGTATCCTACAATTTTTTTTCCAATGATCCAAACCATCTATTTTTCAGGTCTTCATTCATAGATCATCCTTACAAAAAATTAGACAAATCAGAAACCGTTTTGACATCCAATTGTGTCCTACAAAATCAATGAACACGGTGCTTCAAGAAAGTACTAAAATTTCAATAACTCAATTGAATGGTCAAATGATATTGGATTCAAGTGATTTTTTTGTAGAAATGATCTTTGAATGTGTATCTACAAAATAGACGGTTTGGATTAGTGAAATACAATCCGGAGTGGGCTCTACAAGGGGTGTCCCTCAAATAAGCTTATTTGAGGGATCCCTCAATGAAAACTCTCTGTATATATATATATATATATATATGTATATATATATAATTTTTTTTTCTTTAACCATGCGTTGATTTGGGGTTGAGATGAGAAGGGTTTCGTTTTGGGGATTGAATTGATTGAATGATCGATTGGGGTTTGGGTTTTGGAATTATTGAATAGAGTGAGAGAGTGAGATCGAGAGAGATTGAGAAATAGGGAGATTTTTTTTTCTTTAACTAAGGGCTCTGTCAATATCAAATATCTAGTGCCGCTTCCGTGCCATACAAGGTTGATACAATTCGGTATCATACCGGATGCAACCAAAAACCAAATGAAACGGCACAAGTTCGATGCGGTACAGTTCTAAACATGTTCAATTTCGGTTCTTCGGCTTCAAATGCCCAGCCCTAAATTACACATAATAGGATCTCTTGATCAATACTAAATTTCGACCAAAAAATAAAGATCAATACTAAATCAATCCACAAATGTTTATTTATTTATTTGAGTTAATTTTAATTAACAATTTGATGAACCATGGGTTTTTTTATTTTATGTTCCTTGTTGAGTTATTTGTTTGATAATTTTTTATATTATTAAGAAAAATTGATATTGATGATTAATTTTAAATTTACTTTTAATAAATATGGTCCAATTATTCCAATATATATATATATATATATATATTAAAAATAATTTACCAATATATATGTATGGACACTCTTTATCCTACATGATTAATGCTACTCTTACCACATCTGTATACCACATTCTCATACCACCTTATGTGGTAGATGAAGTGGACAACCAAATCAATTAAAAAATGTCAACAAATCATAAAAGAAAAGAAAATGTTAAATTAATTTTAATTGATATGGTTGTTCACCTCATCTTCCACATAAGGTGGTATAGGAATGTGGTATACAAATGTGGTAAGAGTAGCATTATTCTTATTTTATTCCTTAATCAGAATTCTTGATGAAAAAAAATCCCTTAGCAATAGCAACCCATATGACATTAATATGCAAGCTTTTTATTTTTAACATGAATCGTCTCTCGGGAGAAACTGCTCCCCAACTTCCGTTTTCTCCTTCTCTTCGTCGCATCACATCCTCTTTTCTGACCCGATCTTCCCCTCCCCGTCGCTTTCCCTATCCAACCCTCTCTCTCTCTCTCTCTCATTGTCCACTAACTTCCTCTCTGTATGTTTTGCATTTTTCAAGATTTCATCTATTTTAACCACCACCATTTCTTTTGAAAACCAGAAGAGGAGAGGGCCTAAGATCATTGAAAACTGCCTTACATCGAGCCTTCCAAATTTCCCAGGAGCAAAACATGAAAAGGGAGATTCCCCAATCCCTTTGATCACCATCAACAAAGGTGTTACTCAGAAAACCAGTGAACCAAGAGTCCAGGGTGGAAATGGAGGCCAAGTCTGAAGAGTACCCAAAAGGACAGCCGAACCAAACCGCCCTCGTCCAAGGACAAAGCAGTAGCATGTGCTCCACCATTTTAGGAAACAAACCACATAAGCTACAAATAAGAGGATAGTTTCCTCTTAAAGAGATTTGTACTCGTGGGAATGGAGTTCAATAATGCACACCACATAAAGTTCCTGATTTTAGGAGTGGTGCAAGCCCTCCATATAACTTTCCAAACATCAATATTCACTGCATGGGAAGCAGAAGTTCTATCTCTAGAGACGGGAGGGAAGTCATTGATGACATGATAATAACCAATTTTAACAGAATAGTCTCCTGTTTTTACCGTAGGCCACACCAAACGATCACAAGTAGAAGGGGTGCCAATGGGAGTAGTATGGATTTTAGTAGCCTCGCATAGAGGAATGAAAGGCTCAATGTGAGAGATATTCCAGGTCTTGTTGTCCACATCGATGAGATCATAAATCAGTAGGGGGTGAAGCGGTTATTGGAGGGGAGGGGGGAGATTTTTCCTGAGTCACAGCCCATTAACCAGCGATCCTTCCACACATCCACCGAATGACCGTTACCGATTTGTCAGCGAGCACCATTCTCAATAATTTCACGAACAACTAAGAGCATCTCCACCCATAAGGGCTAAGTTTAGGGCAAGGGTAAGCAAAGGCTGCCACTATTCACATGAATAGTGTCAGCCTTGCCATTTGTAGTTCCACCCATGAGGGCTAAGTCTAGGGCAAGTCTAAGGCAAATACTATTCATTATACTTTATTTCCTATTTTTTTATACTTTAAACCATTAATTTTGATAATCTTTTGTAATTAAATTTTCGGATAAGATTTTTTATTGTCACGTGTCCATTATTTTTTTGAAAAGGATTTCGGATGAGAATCTCGGTTGCCACATGTCTTATTCCAGATAAAATTTTCGGATATTCATTAAAAAAAATTATAATCTCATATTTCAGATAAGATTTTCACCCTGTAAAATTGTGTCACGTGTCCCATGTCAGATAAGATTTTTAGATATTTTTTAAAAAATTATAATCTCATATTTCAGATAAGATTTTCACCCTGTAAAATTGTGTCACGTGTCCCATGTCAGATAAGATTTTTAGATATTTTTTAAAAAATTATAATCTCATATTTCAGATAAGATTTTCACCCTCTAACAATAGAACAATACAACAATACAACATATGGCAAAGGTGTTTCAATACAACCTAATGGTTTTCATCATTTAACCAATCCGTATTTCTAAGTCCGTCGTCATGGAAAAGTTTTCTTCTCATCACATCCCTTCATCTATGCTTCCAATAGGCCTTTGTTTCAGGAGACATATGGCTCGTATCCATGGCCATGATTTTCATCTCTCTATCATCCATGTCTTTTTCTTGTGCCTACTGCTGTTGAATAACAAATGCTTCCTCTCGTGCCATGTCCGCTTCATCTCTTTTCAAGTCTCTCTCAATTCTTAGTGAGGTGTTCTTAGCTATTTGCTCTAATAATTGTACACATTCATTGTTCGAAGTGCCCCCTCTCTTGGCCTTTGCCGCCTTTCTCCTAATAAGTCTCGGCGGACGTGGGAGTGGTGACTCCGTTTCCATTAGGGAGTCCAATGGCGAATCGGTTGATGGCGAATCGTGGAGCGGCATCTCATTCAACACAACCGGCGGACCGATGGGAATAATTTTGAATCTCAAACAATCCTTCACAACTTCCCAACATTGGAAATGCACGAAACTTTTTTTGCCTTGCCCCTGGCATCGAACCACATTTGTGCTTGTATGATCTATTAAAAATAAATAATTGGAAGTGCAAGAAAAAAAAATATTATGCAAGAAAATATAAACTATTTTGAAATACAAGAATAAAATTGATTATGTAAGAAAATATAGACAAATTGGAAATGCAAAAAGAAAAAAAAAGATTATGTAAGAAAAAGAAATAGAATATGCAATAAGAAAAAAGTTACATTAAATTGATTAAAATGGCAATTATAAATATTTTACCTCATCGGTAAAATTTTGACCGCTTCGAATGTTCTCCCTTGCTTTTGTCAAGGCATTTCTCCATTTCCCTAACTCTTTATTCAGAAGTTTACATCTACTAGATAAGGCCATTTCGGTCCGAATGGAACCCGGTCTTTGACAAAATTCTCCATGAATTTTGCTCCACATATGATGGAACTTCATCTCATTGCCCGTGATAGGGTCATGACTAACGTTCACCCAAGACTGACACAACGTAATATCTTCCTGAGTTGACCACGAGCCTTCAACTTCGACAGAAGATGCCATTTGTTTTTTTTATACAAATGGAAAGTAGTAGAAAAATGTGAGTGGAGAGTAAAAAATATTGGAATGAGAAGAGTTTGTATGGAGAATTTGTGTGGAAAGTGAAAAATGTGAGTGGAGAGTAAAAAATATTGGAAGGAGAAGAGTTTGTATGGAGAATTGGTGTGGAAAGTGAATAATGTGAGTGGAGAGTAAAAATATTGGATAGAGAAGAAATTGTATGAAGATTTGGTGTGGAAAGTAAATAAAATGGTTAGGTATTTATAGGGAAAAAATTCATACTTTTTTGGTAAGTTTTTTTTAAAAAAAATTCAGAATTTTTTCTTTTTTTTTGCAATTTTTTTAGCCAAAAAAAGGAGGACAGTCGGATTTCTGGAAAAAAAACCGATCGGAGCGTCCCTGTTGCGACACGTGGCACATGCCCGTTGGATTCTGTCATGGGTGACGTCAACGCGTGGAAGTCAAATTTTTTTACCGTTGGCGCGTGTAATTCACATGTCAACGGTAGAAAAAATTTGAATTACCGTGCTGTGACGTCAGCACTAATGTCACAGCCCTCGGGCTGAAGCCCAGGCAAAACTTGCCCTTGGGCCTGCCTGGGCTTCTTCTCTCGCGCTGGAGGCCGTTTGGGCTCGCTAGGGGGGCTTTTCCCCCAGTTTGGATTGCACGCTTAGGCCCAAAACGCACGCAATACTGTCAAATAACTCTTTGTGGACTCGTAACCTTTTAACCATGGTCTCTACATGTAAGAAGCACAAACTTCTTCAAGTTTATTTTTATTTTTAATTTCTAATCTATCAAATAAAAATCGAAACTCTAAATATATATATGACATTTTCATATGTAGGGAAAAAGTTGTGATTCCTCAAGACAAACCATATATTATTCTTGAAGGTGACCCTAGACATGTTACTACAATCGAATATGGAGATTTTGGTAGTGTTATTGACAGTCCTACATTTAAGTTGTTTGCAGATAATTTTGTGGCACAAAATATAATATTCAAGGTTAAAATTCACATAGATAGTATTTGTTTGTTTGTTTTGAACTAGACAATTAATTACTGTATCAATTACCTATGCACGCCTGTAGATTGGGGTCAGTGACAATTTAGTTCATTTCTTTTAAAAATTAACAAAAACAACCTTAAACTTATGAATTCTTACATTGGTTCCTTCCCAGTTTAACTTGTCAATTTGATTTTTTTTAATTTTTTTTGACAAATAGACAACAAATAAAAAAATTAAACACGTGGAATTGATCTCGCGTACCCATGTAAGCAAAAAATATGTCAACTTAAGTGTTCCGTAAAAAAAATGTTGGTTAACATGATAGTTTGGGGGAGAAAGGTAGAGACTAATACTTACCGCAAACCCATCCAAGTAAGAATATAAATTTATTTGGCAAGAAATGGCATGATTAGAAGCTACTGATTTTTATTTTTTATTTTTTTTAATTTAAGCGATGGTCTAAATAAACTACAAGAAGGAGGGACTTTCTCACACTACTGGTGTCATACCTGAGACCACTAGTCTACAAGTCAAGACCCTTTTCTCCTAGGCTAGACCTATTGGCAAAAGCTACTGATTTATTATCATGTAAGATGCCACATTAATGTATATCCACATAAAAATAAGAGATATCTTAAAAGGTAATTGTTATTGGCTAATTTGAAGTGCTAATAATAACTCCCTATTAAGTAGTTGCCAATTTTTCGTGTGAACATATATATTTTTTCTAGAGTCGGCGACTTAGAGTAGATTCACTGTGCTTAATTAATCTGAGTTGTCAGTCAAAAGGATTTTGTGCACAGCATTCAGACACTTTTTATCTTTCTATATGAGATGAAGAATTTCCATCTTCCAAAGCCAAATTGGGTTCTCATTGTTCTAAATTTGCTAAACTAGCTTATGTTGCAGTATTGGGATATGGATTCTCTTATACCAACCATATTTTTCCTCTTCTTTTTCTTGGGTACAATTTCGGGTGCGCCCTATAATGAGATGAAATATGATTTTCAAGACTATGTTTCAAACACCATCGTGGTCGATAAGAGTGGTCGAGGAAATTTTACCACAGTGCAAGAAGCCATCGATTCTATACCGTCAAATAACTCTTTGTGGACTCGTATCCTTATTAACCATGGTCTCTACATGTAAGTAGCACAAACTTCTTCAAGTTTAAATTATTTTTTTCTAATCTATCAAATAAAAATCGAAACTCTAAATATATGACATTTTCATTAGGGAAAAAGTTGTGATTCCTCGAAACAAACCACATATTATTCTTGAAGGCGACCCTAGACATGATACCGCAATCGAATATGGAGATTTTGGCAGTGTTATTGACAGTCCTACATTCAAGTTGTTTGCAGATAATTTTGTGGCACGGAATATAATATTCAAGGTTAAAATTCATGTAGATAGTGTTTGTTTGTTTGTTTTGAAGTTACTATCATTTATTTATAGTTTAAAGTCTTAATTATGGTGGTTACAGAATTCATACGACCGTCTTATCACATCGGATCCAAATGGAAGGAAAACTACTTGGGCACCTGCAGCTTCAATTTCTGGAGATAAAGCAAGTTTTTATCATTGTGCTTTCATTAGTTTGCAAGACACATTGAGTGATGACGTTGGTCGTCACTATTATTATGACTGCTTTGTTGAAGGGGCTATAGACTTCATTTGGGGCAATGGCCAATCAATTTATGAGGTAAATTTATTTATTTTCTCTCATACCCTATTTGGTGGCCGTGACAGGACATAATTGGGACTAAATTCATTCGAGTCTTCTTAAATTTCACTATTTTAAATAGGACTTATAAGACATAATATGTTGAAATATTTCCTTGCAGAAATGCCAATTAAGATCAGTAACAGACAAAATAGGTGTACCTGGTTTTATCACAGCGCAGGGTCGTAAGGGCCTAAAGGAAACTAGCGGTTATGTATTCAAAGATTGCTATGTAAATGGAACAGGCCCTATATTTTTAGGAAGACCATACAGAAATTATTCAAGAGTATTGTTTGCCTCCACATATATGGAAAATATTATAACCCCAGAGGGTTGGTCCACATGGGAAAAGAGATCACTGTAAGTTTTCTTTTTTCTTTTTTATTTTATATATCTTTGTCTGTGTGAAGAGAATATTAAAATTATGCCAGATATTAAACTTTAATTCTCTTGTTTTTTTCTTGACATTATCGAACAGGAATTTAATCACATTCTCAGAGGTGAATTGCAAAGGTCCTGGAGCAGATATGTCCCATCGTGTCTCGTGGGAGAAGAAGTTATCAGATCAGGAAGTGGCATATTTAACAAATCCAGCTTCTTTCATAGACCAAGATGGATGGTTAGGAAAACAACCCAATTAAGCCCTTGATATCAATAATAATTAGTCCCCTTTTTAGGTCTTCCATCAATAACCCGTTGTTAAGGCAACAAAGAAGGATGGTGCAAAATGTCTTTGTCAATGGACTAAGTATACATTTTTGTAATGTTATGAGGTCTTGATTGAAAAATTGAATCAGCTTCGATAACATATGAGGTTTTTGTGTACTGGGATGTGTTGTTTGTTTGCTTGGTGTGGGTTTGTGGTTTGTGTGAAAGAGGTTGAAGAGGATGTTTGGTTGGAGGGAAAGTGAGAGATTGCTAATACCCGTACTTCTCTTTGTTCACTCCCACTACTTAAATCATTAAGCTGTAAGTTTTATTATTGTGTAAAAAGACAAAAAAGGTCATCTAACTTAATAATTAACCCTAGTACATCTATACACACTCCACCACTCTTCATATTAAGTTTTAGAAGCCTCCTTCCAACTTTCGGTTTACAAACTCTCTCTCTCTCTCTCTCTCTCTCTCTCTCTCTCTCTCTCTCTCTCTCTCTCTCTCTCTCAACAATACCCAAGTGTTAGAATTCCAGTTACAATTCTTGGAGAGAGATAAAGATGTTCTCTTTCTCTAGAAAGTATTAAATTTCAGATTTGGGGTTTAATTTGTTTGTTTGTTTTTTTTTGTGGGAACAAAGAAAATTGTGGGGTTTAAATAGAAAATCTCCTTTAGTTCTAATTTTTCAGTTTGGGGTGTATTTAAGGGTAGTTTAGGAAGATAGTGGGGTTTTCTTAGAAATTGTGAAAATTTAAATTAAAGTTTGAGTGAACTTAAAACATGGGGTGAACTAAGAGACACTAGTAAAAAAAAACCTTGCGCAACAAAAAACTATTCGTCGCTCAATGTCACTTTGCGCGACGAAACTAAAAAATTTGTCGCTCAAAGTCTTGCACGACCAAACTTTTACATGACGACAATACTTCATCGCTCAAAGTCTTGGGTAAACAAACTTTGCACGACGAAAAACAATTCGTAGCACAAAGTGACTTTGCGCGACGAAACAATAAACTTCATTGCACAAAGTCTTTAGCGACGAAGTGTGTTTCGTCGCGCAAAGTTTTTACAAAAATTAAAAAAAAATTATTTTTTTAAATATCTATGCATGACGTAATCCAAATATTTCGTCGCCTAAACCAATTTATTTTTGTTTTTTATTTTGTATGCATTAAGTAGCTGTTAAAAAATCATCAAAATTGGAGTTAACATAACCGTTAAATCGTGATTTTTCATATATAACCGTCGAAAAGTTTTGTCCAATTACTTGATTTTTGAATGTTTATTTTTTTCGATTTTTGGCGTATATGATCTCGAAGTATAAACAAACAAGTTTGACGGTTGGATCGTTGAAACTAGTTTCGTAGAATGCGTATGCCATCAAAACAATATATTCACTAACAATTAAGAGTTTATTTATACTTTCGTTAAATATAACATAAGATTTTGTGGTATCCACTAGTGTAAATATTTTAAATTGAAGATCAAATTCAGTCATTGTATTCATATTGGGTCAAGGAGTGTAGCTGTAAAAAATCATCAAAATCGGAGTGAAAATAACTGTTCAATCGTGATTTTTCATTTATAACCGTTGAAAAGTTTTGTCCTGTTACTTA